TATTGGAATTCTTATAAAATTACGACTTGAACTTCAGACATCTTGAGAATTAGGTTTTGAGTATTTTAGAACGTGTTGTAACGTTGTCGGTATCCCACCTGTGCCCTCTGTAGGTACCCACCCATGCCCCTCTGTGGTACCCACCTGCCTCTGTGGTACCCACCCATGACCTTCTGTGGTATCCATCTATGCCCCCAGGTACCCACTCCATGCCTCTGTGGCACCCACCTGCCCTCTGTGTAGGTCACCCACCCATGACCCTCTGTAGGTACCCACCCATGACCCTCTGTAGGTACCCACCCATGTCTCCAGGTACCCACCCATGCCCTCTCAGGTACCCACCCATGCCCCTCTGTAGGTACCCACTCCATGACCTCTGTACTCCACTCCATGCCCCTCTGTAGGTACCCATCCATGCCCTCTGTACCCTACCCATGCCCCTCTTGTGGTACCCACTCCATGACCCCTTCTGTAGGTACCCACCCATGCCTCTGTAGGTACCCACCCATGCCCCTCTGTAGGTACCCACCATGACCTGGTACCCACCCATGCCCCTCTGTGTAGGTACCCACCCATGCCCCTCTGTAGGTACCCACCCATGCCCCTCTGTAGGTACCCACTCCATGCCCCTCTGTAGGTGTACCCACTCCATGCCCTCTGTGTAGGTACCCTCCATGCCCCTCTGTGTAGGTACCCATTCCATGCCCCTCTGTGTAGGTACCCTCCATGCCCTCTGTGTAGGTACCCACTCCATGCCCTCTGTGTAGGTACCCATCCCATGCCCCTCTGTGTAGGTACCCACTCATGCCCCTCTGTGTAGGTACCCTCCATGCCCTCTGTGTAGGTACCCACTCCATGACCCTCTGTGTAGGTACCCACTCCATGCCCCTCTGTGTAGGTACCCACTCCATGCCCCTCTGTGTAGGTACACTCCATGCCCTCTGTGTAGGTACCCCCTCCATGCCCCTCTGTGTAGGTACCACTCATGCCCCTCTGTGTAGGTACCCTCCATGACCCTCTGTGTAGGTACCCTCCATTGAGCCCTCTGTGTAGGTACCCACTCCATGACCCTCTCTGTGTAGGTACCCACTCCATGCCCCCTCTGTGGTTACCCACTCCATGCCCTCTGTGTAGGTACCCTCCATGCCCCTCTGTGAGGTACCCACTCCATGCCCCTCTGTGTAGGTACCCACTCCATGCCCCTCTGTGTAGGTACCCAATCCATGCCCCTCTGTGTAGGTACCCACTCCATGCCCCTCTGTGTAGGTACCCACTCCATGCCCCTCTGTGTAGGTACCCACTCCATGCCCCTCTGTGTAGGTACCCACTCCATGCCCCTCTGTGTATTAATGGCGAGTAACGTCCCCCTAAATCTGTTACTGAGACTGACTAATAAACGACCTCGTCCTTGACCTCGAGCCATGAGGACTAGTCTCTAATGACCTCATCCTTGACTGTTACTAAGGGAATAAGTTATCCCTTAATTCTTATGGTGTTTTATGACATTCGTGACAAATAAACATACGCGTATATACAAGGGGTCGCTATTATAAAGGGGTCATTGGTGTAAGGTGGTCACTGGAGTAAGGTTAGGTTAGGTTAGGTTATCTGAGGTTAGGTTAGGTTAAGTTCGCATTTTCCTCTGTGTATGGCAGCTTGAATTTAAGTTCTAAGTGAATAAAATGAATTATAAAATGAAACTCGTGTGAATCCTGAATTGACAAGTAATACTGAACCACCGAATCCCCAAACCCTCGAACCCCTGGAGTTAACGAAGTGTTATAATGCATAGAGGAATTACTCGCTAATATCTCCCAAACAAAAGTGTATTATTTTCAGTCATTTTATATACTGATAGTAAAAGCTATAAAAAAAATAGACATAATAGAGTATATTAAAATTCGGGTGTCATAAGTTCGAAATATGGCTTTATTTGATTCGTGGGTTCGATATCAAGTTTGCATCACCACAAGATTATCAGGGATCGCCTTATCAAATATAAGTTTTTAGGTAAATAAATACAATTAATCCTTTTAGATAGGATATACAGAAAGTAAAAATAATATATTTCTATTGATACAATTTGGAAACGTAAGATTAGTTTATCTCTGAGAACTTAGCGAGTATATCAGAAAAGGCGACACATAATTTTGTTAATTATGTTGTGTGTGGGGGGAAAGGGGAAGGGGGGGGGTAGGGAACGAGTGTCGACCCTCTCTCTCTCTTTCCTTCCTTTTCGCTCTCTTACCTTTCCTACCTCTCTCCTTCCATTCACCCTCCCATCCTCCTTCCTTCCCCCTCCCTCTATCTCATCTCCCCTACTTCCCTACGTTCCAAACACTTTCTAGATTACACAGACCTAAACACATTCTAACTATGGTAAGAAGTAACATAATATATAATGTATATATATAATCAATAAAGGCAGCATATAATAACACCTGCGTCCTTCCCTCTTTCTCTCCCTTTCTACTTCCCTCTCTACCGCCCTCTCATTGGCTTCATCACCCACATCCCCCCACTCTAGTTACGTCACGTTCCTCACACACACACACACATTGTTTATTCTCACCACATGTGCTTTCCCTTTCAAATCTGTTTTAAATCTTCCACTGCTCTAATTCCTTTTTATTAAATTATCTACCTTTTTTTTATATACTCTTTACTTCTTATCATTGGGAATTAAAGTGATGTACCTTCTCTCTTACACACTCCTCATGAGTCACCAGGTAGAGCCACTAATGTCCGCCCTATGATTCTATGCCTTAAAATACAGTGTAAATGTAATATAGGGATATATTTTTAACCTTAGTAACACTGTGTCTCTCCTGCCTCGTGTGTGTGTACCTGAAAATTAACCGCCTCAACTTATTTTACTTTAATATTAACCAATTCACTGCTAACCTAGGTTAACCTAACCTAACCTAATTTAATTTAAGCTAAGCTAACATAACACCCTTTGTTAGAGTTAGGGTGGTTAATCTTTAGTTAAATAAGCTGGGTGGTTAAACTTAGGTAAAATAAGCTGGATGGTTAATTTCCAGGTAAAATAAGCTGGGGTGGTTAGTATCCAGGTAAAATAAGCTGGGAGCTTAATTTTCACCATGACCTAAACCTCAAACCTCAACAGATGGAGCGAGAAGTCTAGAGGGATAGTCCAGCGGTGACGTCACCCACCAGAAATAACTCTTTCATCGTTACGGTCCCTTCACCTCCAGGCCCAGACTAAGGCTCGTACCGTGAATTGTCTTCGTAACTGAAGGTATAAGAACCCACCTGGCAATTTAATTTAAGCTATAATGGTCTATGTACTGTATACTGTATGCCTGTGGTGTTTATATACGTGTTCAACTGTATACCTGCATTGTTTACAAGCATGATAGAACAATTGTAAACTTGTATGTTGATTTTACTGAAAAACCATTATTACTATTATTATATATATTTTTTATTATTGTTGTTGTTGTTATTACTAATTCTACCTTAGCTACATACGTCTACTACCAGCATTTTGGAGATACTGTAGATATATAGTTATACCCGTATAGGTAAGATCTATTAATGTGACACCATGAGCTGTGTGTGTGTGTTTAAATACACTGTGTACGTGTTTTTGAATGTGTGTATTACTGAATGAGTCTATAATTGTTTGGAGGTTTGTTAAAATTTTTGGGCATGTGTATGTGTTTGAATGTGAGTATATGCGTATACGTAATGTTTGTGTTCATTTGTATAAGACTGTATATTTGTGGCAGTTGAGGTGCCTGGGGGAGGCTTAGTACCCCCCCTGCCCCTGATATTAACCACGGAACAATGCAAGCAAATATTTGTACAACAACGTGCACAGTAAAGTAAATATTAGTGGTTGGTGGTGACTATTTAACTTTTACAGTATAATACATTAAAACAAAATACGAGAATTGTGAATGCTCATTATAATATTATTTTAACATTAGTGACCCTACTGTTAGCGTCAATGATAAATCCTGTACAGTATACGTCCTTGTGTGTGTGTGTGTGTGTGTGTGTGTGTGTGTGTGTGCTCCAAAGATCGCGCCCCAAAGGAAAATTAATGTTTTTCCTCTTTTTGTTTGTCTTATCATGTGAGGGAACCATAATACAAAAACGAAAATGGGAGAGAAATAAACATAAAACTAAATATTACTCACCTGTCATAAGAAAATATTTCGCTACTAACTGGTATGCATCTGTGAGGTTATTTCATCTACAGTCTTCGTTAATTTATTATAATTCTCCTCACTTGAAAAAGAAACCCAGTGATGAAGTTATTAGTCCTCACAATAGCTGGATGAAGTAATAGAGGTGACGTGTGCTGTGTGAAAAGTTAGTATTTTGTAAAAGCCACCTCACCATATATTACTTCTGATATTTGTCTCAATTAACTGCATTGACTATTGCAGATGATTAGAACATTCCAAATTTCCAACTGTAAGACGGATAACGTTTTATTAAATGGTTAAACCTCGTGACGGGAGTATTGATGAATGCACTCTGGAATTGTATGGCCACTGTATTAGCTTATAATACTATATGTGACTACAGACAAGAGTTGGTTCAAAACTTTTATATAGAATCTCTACTGGCTCACTGAATGACGTGTCCGAATGGTGATTAATTACTTCCTGCACCAGACATGCCGCTTAGGTACTTCAGTCAATGGCCTTTTCCTGGTGGGATGTGGCTATCGTTGTCCTTCCCCATGTCCTAGTGCACTTAACTTTGTAGGATGAATGTGATCTAATTAAAACTTCCCAAGTTCATAGTATATTGAGATCGTGATAGGATTTCATCATTAATACACATGATGTTAATCGACATAACGCTTTTATATAAGACCTACATGAAATAAAACTATAGTAGCTAATGAGTGAGGAGAATGTGGCTCACTTTATAAAGTTCAGCATTAAGTTAAGTTTAAAAGTTTCTTTGGTGTTCGCATGAAGGCGAAGACCGAGTCAGCAGGAGGCGAGCAGCGTGACGTCAGTCAGTGTCTCCGTTAACATGGCGGTGGTGTGGCGCAGTGTTGTGACCTCCCTCACAGTTTTAGTACTTTTTATTATTAATACTTCAAACGCACATATAAATGGTGAGTATAGTAATACAAGACCTTCAAGTCGTAAAGTTTCAAGACAAAAGACCTGAAAAGAGGTGCGTTATGTGATGGTTTAAGGTCATGTTGAGGAGTGCGTTGTTTTGGTGAAGGGTTGAGAGAGGGAGCGAGGTTACGAAGTACCTGTTAACCACACCTTGTTACCTTCCCTGCCTCCCTGTTAACCACACCTTGTTACCTACCCTGCCTCCTCCTCACACCTCCATATTGTGCACCGGCTGTGACACTCTTATCTCGTGTGTGTCGGGTAACAGTCTTAGAAGGAGGTTTAGGCTGAGTGACATTTAAAAGACGGCTTCCCTGTGGTCAATAAGACGGGGACCTCCTTGAGTACAAAAAAAAAGTGGAATAAACGAAGTGTAAGAGTAAAAGTTACACAAAGCACTTGGTAATGTGAAAGAAAGTAAAGCCATATTGCTGTACTTTAAATACTGGTGTGGTACTTCCCAGCAACCTTGATACAGTGCACTATTAGGGGTTTGGTTAAGACGGTTAAACAAATTTAAGGTATTATAATGATTACATCCCACGTGAACGATCGTCTATTTTATGCTATTTAGTGTAACATGACTTAACCAAACCATTTAATTATGATTGTAAAAATAGCATTAAACAGACGATCGGACAAGTTACCAACCGCATATGTCGAACTTTATCATTTTTTAACAAAATATTTCCTGTGTATTGAGGAAATGGAGGATGAACTGAAATAAAGTCACTGGAATTAAAAGGTCAGAAAAATTCACCATTTTATTTAACGAATTATACGGTGACTCTTTTTTCCTATATCCCAGAGTCTCACACCAAGAACATGAGAAGACTGAGACTGAAATAAATGGTATTAGATGTATATCACCTGTTTAGTTAATTAAGTAAACATTCATTATTATATTTTTTTTAATGCTGGCCCACAAATTTATTCATAAAAGAGTAAACAAAGTAAACTAAACTACCATAAAGCCTATATAGTAAAAGGCAGATGCTTCTTGTGGACGTCAACTGAACAGATTTTTTTATGGTATGAATAAAAACACAAGTGGGAAATGGACTGTATTCGTGGAAAATTATAACAAATTGAATTACTGTGAATGAAAAGTGCAGCATAGAACATTAGAACTCGTAGTTACCAGCATAAGAACATTCACCCTATGAAGACAGATGCAAATACTGTAGGTATTGAAATGTAGAAAAAATGGCATAGGAAATACACAATTATCAAACAAGGGTAAAATGTGATGAGTATAACAGTAAAAGACACAACTCTTATATAACATCCCCGGAGGATGTGTTATTATTATGCAGGAGTACATTAGCACTAGCATTATAAATATTTAACTATTATAGTGTACAGGAGCACATATTCAGGTCAAATTTGTGTTGGCCATGTGACTTTAAGTTGATCTTATATGACCTGAAACCCAAATGATGCCTTTGAAACTGTTTCACCTTATACAATATTTAAAGTGTACCCAATGTATTCAGTACAGTGTGTTTTGCGTTCTTGTGTAATATTTTTATCTTGTGCAGCTATTAAGTATTGTGGATTTTGCATTCTTGTGTAAATGTGTGTGTGTGTAATAGGTAAGAGCTGTTATTAAATGTCCATGGTGACTCTCCTTTTGATAGTTTCCTTCATGATGCTTTACTTTTTTATCCTGCTTTTATATGTACCACCTGTATTCCTTTTTTGTTTTGTTTTGTTTTTTGTTTTTATGAGAATTATGTACAGTATTCGGTGTATCCATAAGTTTTATACTGTATATACAGTACACGGTTCCATGACAAAACCCCAACTGGGTTGTCATTTGTCAACACTAACCTATCCTAAGCTTAAAAGTGTTTTATTTTATATTTTAAATATGAGACTGGGGTTTTGTCCGGTCACCACAGTACATATATAGTATACTGTACAGTATATGTAAATGCATATTGTGATTGAGGCCCTCAATCACCCTCAATTTGAGGGGGAACTTCTGGTTCCTTGCAAAATAGTTTTTTAAGACTATTGGATGTTCAGATTACTGTTTTGTTCTATATGTCTGGATCTGCTGTTGTCTTATAGGTGCCTGTGTAGGTTGTGATAAACTTATCATATTTTCTTTTCCAGTAAAGGAATCTTGAAAGCAACTTTAATTGATGCACTGTAGAAAGACTTAAGAGGGGAATTTACATTGCAGATGCAGATTACAATAGATATGTGCTTTATGATGAAGATGCACGAGAGGTGGAAGATTTTGAGTTCCAGCCCCTCGATCGGCAAAGACGGGACGTTAGACGAAATCCTTCAGAAGTGGATGATATGGACTCCAAAATGACGGTCAGATTATTTACATATTTTACATGAGATGCTTACTTGTGGTGCTATACATGCATGGCTACCTCAGAGAATGATGTTGTGTTGCACATATAAAGTTACTAGTATGTTATGTTGAAATGGGTAGCAACAATAATCCTTCATTATACAGTACTCCCAGAGAGTATTTCAGGTATAATATACATACTATTATTTGCATAATTGAGCTTGGTTGAACGGTTAACATTCTCGACTAATGTGTTCATTGAATACTGTTCAGTCAGGGATGGCTGTACAGTACATTTTTTTTTCTTTTGTGCTGTACGATGCAATACAGAACACTATTTGTGTTAATTTTGGTTCTAACTTAACCTCTTGGTATTCAAAGTAACATACTGTACTTTGTTTATTTATACTAATACCAAAAAGAAATTAATAGATATTGAAGTAGAAAAGAAAATGTCAGTAAACTTTCTCAAAAATCTACTTCTCAAAATGAAACATTCACAATAATGAAAAAATTTCCCGATATTTGGGGAACAACTAGACTCGGCCATTAAGTGTCAGACAGCACACTGACTTGTGTAAGTGTTAAACTCTCTGTTAAACATACCTACTCATATGTCCTCTTAAGCATTATTAATAAACATTTTTATAGATTGTTCAATACAAACCCATAAATCTACGATAATGTTTGTTTGACTGCCATAGTTTATGCACATTTACGCAACAAATGGAAAGATAATTAAACACTGCCATATTGCATTATAAATACAGTATATTAGAAGGACTGGAGTGTGTTTAACTCTTAACTATAGGCTAAAATAGAATAGTAAAATGAACTGGTTACTAGTTGTCAGTTTCGTGGGGTCAGTATGGCTTTTCCAAGGGGCCCTATTGTACTGAACACGTGTAATACATATGCTGTCTAAAGGCTTAATTGCCTTTAAGTATAACATATCTATATATTAATGCAGTGAATGAATTTGAAGGGTACAAAAGTATTATAGAATTAAGAGGACGAAAGGTCTCCTATCCAAAAACATTTGAATTGTCATCACTCACATTGGCCTTACACGAGATACAACTCTTTATGTGTAAAAAATATCCACATTTATGTATAATAGAACGAGTATAATAGAAATCGATAAAAATATATAGTAAAAATTGTGTGTGTCTGTGAGGGAAACATAATCTATGTACACTTCCTGTGACATTTATTCAAAGCAGTGATTTACAGTCAGCAAATGGGTGGGGTGTGTGCTACATATGTTAGCTGATACTTTGTGTACACCTCAGAGTTGCATGACCATTGGGGGCATTACAAAGCTGCATGACCATTGGGGCCATCTCAAAGCTGCATGGCCATTGAAAACTCAGAATTGCATTATCATTGGGAGCTGAAGGTTTATTCCTTTCATGCTGTCTTTTTTAGTGTTGATTCCTTCCTATCAGGATGTATTTGTACTGACACTTTGGTCGTTTGTGTCTGCTTTCTCTTATTTCTTGTTGCATTGAGTTTCTGGAGTCTCCTGACCCAAGCATTAGGCTGTAAATTAGGGATTGATCCTTAAGTCACATTTTATAGCCTAGCCTGGATTGAGTGACTCACATTCCCTCTAGGCTCATGAGTGCTTCTGAGGTGAGTGGGAACTGAGGGATTGATTGACACAGGAAACAAGGGTTTACAGCTGTGTCACAATTGGCTCTAGAGGTGTCCATGTTAGTATGATGGCAAAAATTTCTAGCCTTCTGCCATAAGTTGTAACTTTATACAGTACTTTCTTTTTCAATTGAAGGGTGAGGGTTGCGAAGGAGCATCAAATATTTTTTTATTAGTTTCAATCTACTATATCTTTGGGCCTGGGAACCATGGCTTTTCAATTTTTAGATTTGTATGGCAGTACTTGAATTATCTGACTCATGTTTGGCTGTAGAATGGGACTTGAGAATCATTCCCATAACTGCTGTGCATTTGGAAAAAAAATAACCTCGCTGACTAGCTGTCGTTGGGTATAAATTCTTGGTATTGGGACTGTATAGTTCAGTAGTTTATGTAACAATATACAGCATATGTAAGAAGTGAATGTTACATGGTAGCAAGGCAGGCATGGGCTCAAAATTATTTTATTGTACCCTGTACCATCATTTGGTTAGGACTAATTGATCACTTTTGTATCTAGAGCAGTTTTTTGTATTAAATCTAACCTTACATGTTACCTTGTATAGTTGTATACCTGTACAGTACAGTGTAGCCTTTGTGAAAACATTTTTTTTTTACAATGGTGCTGGTAATGACATGCACAATTTAATAGGACTGTACTGTATATTTATCTTGTAATATATTTATGCTAATATGGCTATAATACATATACAGTACTCTACTGTAATTTAATATTTATGTCTGTAAGGTAGAAGCTCATTAACCTACATTTTAATCATGTACAGGATTCATCATGCTTAACATTTTATCCTGACAGTTATCTGGATTATTTGTCTCTGATCATAAATATTGTTCCCAATTCCTGAGGAAATGATAGTTTATTAGTTTCTACAAATATGAAATAAGATAATTATTTATGGTAGTGCTTGAACTGTAAGAAAACGGGTGTCAGTTATAAAGAAGGTCTGGATCATTTTGCAATTTTTTTGTTATTTTTCAAAATAATGAAATTGTGGAAGATCAGGATGCGCAGAGATTATCAATATTTTCTACACATGTACATTATTGGGTGGACTCAAAACTCGACTTTATAGCCATAATTCAGTACTGTTCTGGATTACAGTTTACTCTACAGTGCTTTAACTACTGTATATTGAGTAGTTAACATTGCTAGTGGATGTATGTGTTTATTATTGAATGAGCCAGAATATCCCTCTGGAAGATTCAAGTACAATATTTGAAATTTTAGCTACAGTACATGATGCAGTATTTCTGTGTAGTCAGTAAGAGAGACATAGTATAGCTTCTCCTGTACATTATGGTCTCACTGTAAGGCACTTGAAGAATTATTTATTTGTTTTTGTTGTCGTGACACTTCTCGGTAACACTCACGTTTGGTCTTCACTTCCTCTGTTGCCTAATAATGTTGTTGAAGGTTCAAAATGGAGCTTTATAGTGAAAATGGAATCTCTAAAGATTTTTATTTTTTAATAACAGAAGTGGTGTGTTTGTAAGAATAAAAAGTAAGAGTATCGTGAGTAATGTGAAACAACTGTGGGAGTGGTTAGGTACATGTACCGCATTTCTCATGTCAAAGTAGTTTTGTGATCCATTAACTCAATAATTATGCCATTTGGGAAATCAATGGTACCCCACAAATGCAAAAACATGAATTTTATGAAATTTAAGATGTAAAATTCAGAATCCATAAAAACGATATAAAAACTTTGTACTCATCATGGGTGCCAAGTTATGAGTCTATGAAGTGAAGCAGAGAGTAACTGGCAACTGCTGAGCACTGGTGGTTATTGTGATGCAAGAGGGGGCTGTGGTGACAAACAATGTGGTTTTCGTGTTGTAGTGGTGGGATTTTGTGATGCAAAGTGGGTGGTATTGTAAGGGTGTGTGAGAGGCCACTGAGGACAGGAGGGTGTGGAGACATAAATAACTCCACATTATTCCAAGATGATGATAGCAAGTTGACTGAAGGTGCCACCAGCCTTGTGTCTTACTCTTAGTGTGTCTGCTAATCATCAACTTTGCATTCTTAGTGTGATTTTAGGTGCATTTTAAATTCATGGTGCTAAATGCCAATTGTCTTAAAATGACAATAGTGGGATTTCGGTAAATCATGTGTGTGTATATATGTATGTATGTATGTATGTATGTGTGTGTGTCTGTGTGCATTGTATATAGCCACTATAGTGTACTGTGCTTGTTTTATGATGAACTCTTACAAATGAAATTTTCTTATAATTTTATTAAAATGTACCAATACAGTCCAGTACCTTGTTCTTTAAAATGAGTTATCTAATCAGTATCAACAATACTGTACTGTTTGTGTACTATTCAATACCATAATAGTACTGTACATTAATCTTTTAATATTTAGTTATTAAATATTTTTGAGTAATTATGTTTTATTATTAAATCTGGTGTTGTTTTCACTTTGGAGCAACTGGAGGATATTTTTTATTTATAATGTCATCACTTGGGAATTTTCATAGACTAAAAGGGTCCCAAATGATTGGGAACTACAGCTACTTAGGTTAGTACAGCACAGTATCTGTTTTACCAGTTCTTGCAATCTGAAGTTACATAGTAGATACACATACCGGGTACTGTACACTTGATTATACTGTACTGGGGGAGAGGTGTTCAGTCAGTCAGGAAAATAAGCACTGTACTGTAGGTTGTGTAGTACTGTACTGTAGGATAAGTTATTTGACATAGTTAAGTAACATGGAAGAAAATTTGGAGTTGCAGAGGTTTACTATGATTATAATTGCTTAAGGAATACCATGTCTAAACACATGTTGTTAGCATTTTAGTTAGGATTGACTGTAGCAGTTAAAAATTCCTTGTTCGGTACTTTCTTGGAAAAAGAGGTAAAACTGTTCTGCACTGTGTTAATTTTTTTTGTTATATTGCCAGGTGCAAAAATTGCAGAATATGAAGTCAGCTGTCACGTTAAAGAATTACAAAGGTGATAAAAATCCCCTAATAACTGATATGAAGAAAAAACCTACCCTGCTGAAGAGTCCCACTACTGTAGCATCAGTAGCCACCCCCAGTGATAGTGTGTCTGTGAACACCTCCACATCAGGTGAAATACCAGTTACCACTTCAACCACTACCACCATTACCACCACAGTCACCAGTACCCCCATGCCCAATAATGAGACTCAAGTTAACATCCAGGATAATAGAACGGGAGGGTTGACGACGGTGGGTGTTGTTGCACTTTGTGGGTTTTCCATGGTTGAGGTATTTGATTAATGAGCATGAAATTTAGCTAATGGAAAGTACAGGTATCTGTCTTATATAGACTGTGAGTACTGTTCATAATTTCCACATGTGTGTTTTTTTATAACTTGTCTCTTAGATACCTTTAAGGTCAACGTGTTTAAATGTATCTGCTTTACTTTGTCTCTGAAAAAGTCAAGTTGGAAATGTTTGATGCATTTGGTTTTGGTACCTGCATGTTATGATAGTTTGCTAATGCATGATTGTCTAACTATATTGAGCAGGTGGAAATGGTATGTTTCTAGGAATGTACCGTATGTACAGCTGCTCCCCGACTTAAACGACGGGGTTAGGGACTGACATCCAGGTCGCAAGTCGAAATGGCTGTAAGTCGGAAATGCTTAAATAACACATAGAAAATCGAAAATGGGTGTCTCTTTTTCTTCTCAGCACCACAAAACACTCACTTTTAAGCTTGCCAGCCATTTTAAAGTGAATTACAGATGAAAATTTTGTTTGTGTACTGAGTTTGGGACTCGAAAATACGTAATTTAACCAAATTTTGGTACGACTGAGGCAAGTCATAAGTCGGGGAGTAGCTGCACAATAGTTGCTGTGAATTTTTTTTTATCCTAAATTTTGTTTTTGTGTGATTTTGCAGATTTTGGTATCCAAAGTCCTTAGGATATTAATGTGCTGTTCAATACAGTATAGTATTATTCCGTATTAGCTAAAAATTTCATGTAAATTCTCCTTAGTTCAGCACAGAGCTCTTTGTCGTCGTCTTCTCTGACGATTCACTGTATGTACCTACTGTATATGTGTGTATAAATGCTTACTTTTTGCATGATTGGTAAAGTGATGCATAAAAATTATGCTGATAGTTTCTTATCTATTCAACGTTCAACCTCTTAAACACTTCCAGTATGTTTCCTCTGTTATGTGTTGTACTTCATTAACATGAACCACGCGTCACTTGTGTCTCACGCTACTGTACAGTACTGCACTCTGCTTCTCAGTTGTGATCTTCCTTGTCCAGTACCAAGGTACAGGAGGAAACCGAGTACCCAGAGAAAACCTTCAATGTTTGGTAAGGTCCTACTGGATAACATCATCTAACCAGGGATTGAACTTGGGTTGCAGTAGTGAGAGGCTAGCTGATGTGAGTTGGTTTGTGGAGGTGGGTGGTCAGTTGACAAACTGCTGTGAGATGGAGAATGTGCACACTATTTTCAATTGTATTGTGCATTATTTTTCCTATATACTTGTACTTTATGTATGTCTTGTTATACCTGGTAATTATCAATTTTCAAGTACTCTGAATGGAAAACTTTCTTTTGGGTGACATGGCTGTCAATAATAACACAGAATTGTTTGAGGACAATTGTATCAACAAAAAATATTGATTTAGTCCAAAATATGGAAGCATGAATACTGAAATAGTGAGAGTTGAGTGTATATGTTCCTCAGATGACAATTTGCTTCATGTACCACATCCAGGTCCTCTTCTTTCTCTAACCTCTGTAACTTTCTGCACCACAGATGATGCATTTTGTATCATCCAATATATATATATGGATGATGCATATTGTGTCCGTCTCTTAAAAATTTGCAACAAAATTATTTTCAGATCCATCGATGCCTTGTATGGTTTAAAATGTGCATCAACCTACCAAACAATATTACAAATAAAAGCAGTAAAAAATTATATATTCTACCATATATTATGAAAAATTTGAATGTTTTAATTACACTATTTTAAGTTCAATTTCTTCATTATGTATTGAATTTTTAATGCCAGATGGTGGACTTAAACAAATAATCATGCCATGGTTAATTTTATAATGAATAATATAAAAATTTAACTTTCTCCAATGTGTATGAGTTAAGTGACAGTAGTTTATGGGAAGTGACTTGTTCTACCCCCAATGTTCTTTTGACAGACAGCCATTCACTTTCATTTTACTGCATATTGTTTTTCATATATATTTGTCAGTATGTCATAGTTTTTTTATTGATTTATAAATGTTTCTGTACTAAAAATTTGCCCAAGTAACCTCAAAAATCCTGGCCAGGAATGTTCCCCCCCACCCCCCCTTAATGCAACATATTTTTTGGGGGAAGATTGGTTTCACATGTTGCAATATAACCCATCACAAGGGTTTTTAGAAATAGAGCCCTTGTAACAATGAGGGCCACTGTACACCTGTTCCAAAAGATATCTTTACAGAGGGGTCCAATGAATTTAAAAAAAGAACCACTTCGTTTGTTGTGTCATGTTGTCTCACACAAAATCGTAAAGATACATTTTGAAGTGAGTGTACTGTACTGTACATGTATATGAAAAAATTTTTTAAGTGGATCACATAAGAGTGGGCATGATTTACAAATGGGTTGAGGTGATGCTAAGCTGTCTGTTTATGTGCTTAGAGCAAGGTGACGAATAGGAGAATTGGATGGATGTATAGGTACAAGCTTACAAAATAGACATAGTAAGGGCTGCCTCAGACAGAACTAAAAGGGTAAATAAGTTGGAATAGGTTAACAGGTATCAAGACATTGAAAGTAAGATGGACTAGATAAACAAATCAGTGTCCTGATTGTGAGATACAGTAAGATGCAATATTCGCACGAGGTATAATTTAATTAAGATTAATGGAGAATACATGCTATTCCCACTGCATGATGCATATTTTCCTTGCAGGCATCTCAGAATGTTACAGAAGAGAAACATGAGGATTCTGTCACCCCTCTGATAACCACTGCCAATGTGACGGTCAGTGACAGTTCTTCCTTGGATGATGTAGACTCTCCAGTGCACGTTGAAGTAAATGACGATAATACTGATTCTGATATTGAAGATTTCATCCCAGACAATACAACTATTGATAATCATAAGTAAGTACATTGTTTTTAAGTATTAGGTCTGACAAAAGATATATTTTTTTTTTTTTTTTTTTTTTTACTCCTGCAAGCCTTTTGTCATATGATACACGGTGACTTAAATCAAGAACTAGACTACCATCGTTCACAATCATTCATCTTTCCTTGACTGTTTAAAAAGATGTTTGTTAGTATTTTCTTGAAGGGAAGGAGAAGCACTGTAGCGGCCAAGAACTTTAATGTAGAGATCTGTGCTACAAGCCTGACAGGCTCCTGCAACATGGCCCCAAGAACTCCATATGCTTTCTCCCTATCATTTTATATAACCCAGCATCATTTTCAGCAGTATATCTGTTCCCATATTTTACCAAACAAGATACTCTCTGACCATACATGTACAGTACACTTAGCTTCTTGCATGTCCAGCTTCCTACCAGCCAAGTATATACCCTCTACTCAACATTCCACCACCTCCTTAGTATTCCCCCCCACTCTCCTACTGTCTGAATGAATTAACATCTAACTCCTGCAAGTGTGGGCAATAGCTTTAAAATGGTAATGATGATAATGGGCACCCAGTGATTTGTATTGTGTGGCTGGCCTTGATTATCACCTACTGTACCATTTCTTCATTGATTTATTTTTATTTTATAAATATGTATTTTTTATTGTCCGATTTATGCAAACACTTTACTCATTCCCCGTGTATTATGTGCCATATGCGTGTGTACACAAGTATTTATGTTATGTAGAAATGTATTGTTCTTCTCTCAATATTTTTAGATACTATCGTTCACACACATACTTGGACTCGGAAGATGCCCAGCATTTTTGGGTTGATCTGGATTCCCTCAATGAAGAGAAAGTGATTACTAATGAAATGCTCTCAACTTCCCATCGTAGAGCAGCAGTGAGTATTACTTCCTCAAAAAATTCATTGTGGATAACACAATATATATCAAAATCTCACTTTTTCATACAATATGGGGATAACTAGGAGAGGGTGAATTGAAATAATTGAAAATTTAAGTGGAGTAAAAATTGGGTTCTAGGATACTCTCACCAGAAGATGTTGTTCATAACTGTGGAGAAACATGGTAGTAAGGACAGAGTTTCTGGGAGGTGTTGCTCAACTTGGCAGCAACTTCTGCCCATTCCACGACACCTTCGTCCTGAACTGGGTCCATAGAGTTAAGTTCCTTCCATTTCAGATATGAGTCATTATAAGTTAGTTGAGATACCAGCTGTTCATGTACCATACACCATAGAAACAGAGCTTGAGTTTGACTTTTGTCTCTCACATTTGTTCAGAAAAGTACCCAGCACAGGGGCCCTTTGAAAAGGCTATAAGCTGTTAACTTCAACATACTACACATGCTTAGTTCTGCACAACATTGCAGAGTCAGTTTAGGAAAATCACTATTTATAAGAGTTGTGTATAACAGTGCAAGAATGAAAAGGGAAATACCACTGACGGTGTTGAGTGAGCAGTGTCAGTAGTATTGCTTTAAGTTTTATGGAATTCTTGATTCATTTTTTGTTTGAACTTCTATAAATGGATTCATTTTAGCTTTTGTGAGTATTGGTGGACTTGTCTCACTTCAAAATGTTAGGAATGAAATAATATCTATAAGTAAATAGAATACTGTACAGTGTTTAAAATAATTTTTTTCATTACCAGACTGTGACGCTGACATTTGAGTTCCCATTCTATGGACATAAGTTGAGGAACATAACAATAGCTACAGGAGGATTCCTCTTCACTGGTCAGTTTGTTCACACCTGGCTGGCAGCAACTCAATACATTGCTCCACTAATGGCCAACTTCGATACCTCTATGTCTAATGATGCATATGTCATGTATGCTGATAATGGTAAGCTTCTACATCTTATAAAATTAGGTCAGTTAATTTCAAGAATTTTTTATTTTTCACATGTTTTCTTTTGCCCTGTCTAAAATATTGGTAAGTGGGATGTAGAAATAAGGCAGTAGTGTTGGACAGAGGATGGGTCAAGGGTCTGCCCAGATGGTAAGGCTGTATTGTAAGAACGGCAATTGAAGTATTGATAAAGAGTGTACAAGTCAGAGATGGGTGGTAGAAGATCATAATTTGGAGCAAAGAATGCATTAGAAGTGATGGGGATGGACCTCCAGGAAGTAGCACTGTGTAGGAATGAGTGAGAGCCTGGCTTTGGGAGAAACATGGGCAATGATGTTTTACCAGTGAGTGATGTTGCCATGGGTGGAGACGGGTCATAATGTTGAAGCAGATTTAGGGCCATTTTGTGGAAGAGGATTAACCAACCACAACACATCTTTTATGGCAGTAGGAATGTTTGAATAACACCCAAAGGGATGATAAGTATGAGTGCATTTGCTTTTGTTTCTGGCCACCCTACATCAGGGTGTGAAAGTGTAAAGTGTTAAGATACAGTAATTACAATATATATATATATATATATATATATATATATATATATATATATATATATATATATATATATATATATATATATATATATATATATATATATATATATATATATATATATATATATATATATTTTTCGCCATTGTGTACAGTAATTTCATAGAGAAATATAACTTAAAATGGCAGGTTGAATTAGAATAGCATCTCTTGCCTTACTTGAGTGCAGCCAGGGAGTGCATGACTAAATAAATGTAGGGGCAAGACAGGATATGCTGTAACATTAAGATGGTTTATGTCTGTATTGATGAGGTAGTCAGATTGAAAATACAGTTAGATATATATTGTACAGTAAAGTGCACGTTTGGAGAAAATTTCGGGAGATTTACGTGAATGGATGTATAATATTGATTATCCTCTTCCTGCTTTTGACGTGTTGAAGAATTGTCACATCTGGTATAAATTAGTTGGCTGTTGATTACTAAGTGGTCACTGTCATTTTAATATAAAGGATTTTTTGTCTAAATGTAATATTCTTGTTATTCAGAAAACGCACAAAAACATAAGTGAAACCTATTTAACGGACTATATGGAGAGGAAAGTCCATTATATCGAGGGTCCGTTAGATATGAACCCCCCATCTAAAGGACTGTATGGAGAGACAATCTGTTATATGGTGGTTCACTGTGTGAGGTATGTGATGTATTAAAGATAGGGGTGGCAGTGCCTGGTGTTGTATACCAGAAGTGGGTAAGTTATCTGCATCACATGGATAGTTTTGAGTGCATGTGTTGACCAGCAGTGTTTATTTGTCACCCAGGTACATCATTCACTGTGCAGTGGAACAATGTGTTGTTGAAGGATCGTGCAGATGCTGGCACGTTCACCTTTCAGGTTAGTTTTGAGTAATTTTGAACCTTACTATTTTTTTTGGTGTTATTTTGTTTGCAGTAACGGGGCTTTTGTTACATATGTATATTTCTTTATCATTACATGTGTTAAGTTCTTTTTTTTTTCCATTGATACAGGCTACCTTACACAAGAGTGGAGATATTGTATTCACGTATAAACAAGTACCTGTAATAATAACTGCAATTGGTGATGACCATCATCCTGTCAAAGTTGGACTCTCAGATGCCTACATTGTGGACCGCACGATATTCTGTAAGTTTAAAACTGCTTCCCTTATGAGGATCAGTAGAAAGCTTAGGTTCATGAAGCAGAGGATGAAATATTATAAGGAAACACATGCATTGCTAAAGAAAAGAGGTGGCAAGGTTAAAATGCCAAAAAGGTGATGCCTAGGCATTTACGATAGGGATATTGTATACCTGTGTAAATATTGTTGTGCAGTTTTCATTTAACCTCTTACAGAAATATGCATGAGGATATCTTTTTAGTCTTTTGGGATCTTTCTGGCATTTTGGCAGTGTAGTCAGAACCAAGAGCAAACAAATACAGGGTTCTCTAATGTCACTAATTATTTTAAAAAGATAGAGTATTAAGATGGTGATTGAACATCTTTGCAATTTAAATGTTAGTGTCTTAAAAATTGATTTTCATAAATTTTTCTACAGAACTCCAATTTGAGAAAGTAAAATATTTTTTACAATCTGTGTGAAGTCTTAAATATGTTTCTGCAGGCAACTTATTAAGAATCCAAAGCAGTTCGCCAAACTCTTCTCAATGCATTTTCTTCTTTCCATGCAAAAACCAATAATTTCTTTAATTGTATGACCTAATATCTAGGCCAGTGGTTCTCAAACCACGGGTTACGAGCTGATTTTCAGTGGATCTTGATGACACAGCTAAGTTAGGTTTTTTGCCTTTTTTATTTAAACTCTCTAAGTCACTGATATTCAATGGGAGCCTTCAACCACTCTATATATTGCTAGTTGTACTTTGCTATTAAATTGCTTACTATTGAAATGCTAGATGATATGACAATTAATTTGATTTGGAGTTAATTTTTTTTTATTTGAATCAATGGGTCACAAAGTTTCCTTGATACAGTGGTCCCTCGGTTAACGAGCACAACCCGTTCCAGCAGGTTGCTCGTTAACCGAAACCATTGTTTCAATGGGTTTTTGGGTAATTGGTTCCAGCTCACCGAAAATTGCCTAAATTCAACAAAAAAGGTAGAAAAGTACACTTACTATGAGGTGTGTATGTAGAAGGCTCCTGGATGATGGTGATGATGAAGGGAATTAGAATGGGGGTGGAGGAGAAGGAAGAAGAGAAGGCATTGGGGTGGAAGAGAAGTCACTCCATGGCGCCATCTCACCCATAAAATTTTAGCTCTCTTGGTGTAATTCAAGATTATTTTCTTTAAATCAACACTGCACTGCATTATATATTGTCAATATGTAAAATATATTTCAAAATGACCAATAATTTGCTTGGAAACACAGAAAAAAAGCGTTTAGTTGAAGAGAGTCTCAAGCAAGATGTTACCTCCACTGAAAACAGAGAGAAACTAAAGCCTGTCTGGTGTGTTAACAGGCTGGATGGCACGCCAGAAACTAGTTTCTTTACCTTCAATTATGTTCAATAATTGTTAAAATGACTAAAAAAGTTAATATTAAACTTTTAAAATTATTGAATAGTATAAACTTCTTGATATTTACTAAAATAGTAAGGAATTTAAGCCTTAAAACCGATTACTGTATTGGCAGACTAATACTACAGCTGGTGGACCGCCAAATGCAAGCGAAAATATCTTGAAGTCGGCTCGTAAAAAACTCGTTAACCGAAGTTAAGAATCTTATGGAAGGTAAATCGTTAACCGAAATCTCGTTAACCGAGGGACCACTGTATTAAAAATTGGAATGCACTCTAAAAAGTTTGAGAACCACTGGTCTAGGCTAGGCAAAGAGTTTCATGTAATATGCCCACTAAGTCTATACAGTCAACCCTCACTTTACGCGGTTAATGTAACCCACAGGGTGCCGCGGAAAGTGAGGAATGCGTAAAGTGAATAACATAACATATGGGATTAATTGAAATAGAGTCCGGGCCGACCCCCAAACTCCACTTTTTGACGACACACAACTATGTTGTAGTAAAACTATTATCTTAACTTTATGATGGTATGCACAAACAATTAATAATTAAGAGAAATATCAATAATATTAGGTTTTCTAACACTTACATTAGTAGAAAAGATGGCTGGGCACATGGGAATGGGCGGTTGGTTCCGAGGCAGAGGGCAGATTATTGGCCCCCACCTGTATCACTTGTATCAATTGTATCACTATCCACCATAGAGGCTTGCAGGGCCTCTTTGTCAAACCCCTCAAAGTCCATATAAGTCCATATCTTCACTATAATTATCACTATCACTGACTTGGGCCGGCTGTGGTGGGTGGCGGTGAAGAACTCGGTAATGTTTTGATGACTGGGCGACCTTGTGCGCACCATGCTCGCGCAGCTTACACAACATGGCGGATGGCGGGAGGTTTGAATCCAAAAATGGCGCGGCTCGCCAGCCGCTCTGCGCGTAAAGGGGTACACGCACCGCGGAATGTGAGCATTCCTGTTTCGGTAGGGTACCGCTTAAACGTGGAAACGCGGAATGTGGGACCGCGTAAAGCGAGGGTTGACTGTACTGTTCTGTATAAAAAAACCAAGATGCAATAACTTGTCACTCCAGACATCAATATCTCAAATAGAAGGAGCTTGAGTAGCTTATTTACTTGCCACGTATTCCTAAAGCATTGGAATCACAGTAAGGGAATTATATTCTTTGTTATTTCATATTGCAAGAATTATTAACATTTGCTTAATACCCAAATTTTCAATATAAATTGCTCGTTTTGTGCAGGGCCAACAAAGTCCACCAAGAGTCCATGTGATAACCCTATATACAATAACTTTATTTTTCATTGGGGCAAGTTTTCTTCAAGGTGGTGGGCCTGAGAGAAAGGGCAAGGAATAATTATAATCTAAAATAAATTTTATTGAGAACTTAATAGTGAAAGAGATGGTATTGGTTCTCAGTGACTGGAACTTAGGTTTGAAGATTGGAATAACAGGTTTTGGATGAACATGCAAGAGGCACAGTTGGCAACAGGCTAATATGATATCACAACTCATGAACCTTGAATGGTAACTTTTTTTCAAGACCCCTCTTTAGGGATATGGTTGCATAAGTAAGTTATGTTCAGTTCCAGCCAGTGATGTCAAATGGTCTCCTGGGTTTTCAACTTGTAGTCTTGATAGGCATAATACTGTGAACAAGTTCCTTAATCCAGGCTTAGTATGGGATTTCAGAACCATTTCTCTACTCATTGGTAATTATGATTTCAGTATGCTGAATCATAATACACTACACAGTAATATGTTAAGAAAAGAGTAAGGAAGAGGGGGGAATGTGAAAGATATATATGGGACATATCTTTATACCTGCAAACTTGAACTTGAAATGCAAACAACTATTTTATTTTATTGGTCTCTTGACCTCCCAATCATCGTGTATCAGGACATGAAATTGATGGATACATACCCAATAGATTTTTTCCACACCTCTGTTTGCCTTTGTTGCAGAATTGTGATTCTTGTGAATTTTGGGGGAAATTGTCAGTTTTATATGCTGAAACATGCATTGTTGACTTAGAAATACATTCTTACATGACAATGAATGAAACTTTAGATAATGCATTGATAGCCGGTTATTTATTGAATGATTGTTTTTTCATTTACCGTAACAAATTTTGTGGTATTAACTGAGCTTTGGTTCTTCATTGTGTAAAGTGAGAGGAATGTTAGTCAAATACTGTCCTGTATATTATTTAGCAATGGTAACTTATCAATTATTGGAACTTTTCTCTACTATTTTCTTTTAATAATGATTAATGTCACGAATGCCTTATGAGCTGATAAAATATTGGACAAAAATATAGATTCTCCAGTTTTGCTTGAAATTTTGGCATTGTCAGTCACAGGTTAGTAATCTGCTAATTACTGAAGATCATGTACAGTGAGCAAATTAAGTATCTTCTTGGGTTTTTGACAAATACGTCACAGAATGGTTGAGCCATGTGACACATACATGTGTGGAACCTTGGAAAGAGGTCACCAGTGACACATTCACTGTGTCTAGTCATCAGTTTTCATTATACTGTACTTCAGCCAAAGTAGGGAAGATAATTCATTCTCTTTCTGTACAGGTAGTAGGAAATTAATTTAATTGTAAGGCTTCTAAAACCAATTGCAGATCATAGTGAAAAGGCAAGATTCTATTTTAGATGGATGTTCTAGTACCATGACAAACTCTTTTAAAAGTTGTTAGAATTTTTGTCACTGACCATGGAAATATCCCTCAACACATTACAGTATGTGTAATAAATTCTTGGACAGTCATGTGATGGTATGTTTCTTGTTTCCTGTTTCACTACCCAGCTTGACAGTTTGGTTCACTGATAATTGGAGTAGCTTACCTCTAGTGTTATATACTGTATTGATGTTTTTCCTCTCACTTTTAGTTGTGCGGCGGAAGACCATCTATGAATATCACAAGATTGACATGAAGAAGAATTCCATGATTGGCAATTGGACAGCAATATTGTTTGAAGCTCTTCCCACCTGTGTGTCAATAAACAGCTGCAGTGATTGCTTGTCACCGAAGATTAGTTTCCAGGTAAAACCAGGTGTCTTTTAATTTCCACAGTTTGCAACATAAACTCCTCATCTGAGTTGTAATTTTATACATTAAATGAAGGTTGGCACATGTAGGGCCTAACATAAATATTTGGTTACTGTTCGAATGACCCTGATCCAACATACATGGTTTAGAGATATCCAAAGCTTTCTGTGGTGTGGATTCTTCCCAAATAATGTACTGTACTTCATTTAGGTTAGGTTAGCTCAGCTGAACTCTGCTCTCCTTCACTATTTGCTATGTAATATAGGTGGTGAATCAGAGAATCAGGATTAATTATGGAGCCAACTGTTAAGTGGTAAAAGTGGGGCAAGTTAAGTATAAAAGATTAAGTGACTGAGGTAAAGGAGAATTGTGTTATACCTCTACTGCATGTGTTTAGTTGTTGAAAATGTAAGCAGTGATAATCAGTTCCTGGTTTCTGTAAATTTTTGACCATATTTTTTATTTTATTTATTTTATTTATTTTTTTTTTACATTTCTGACTGATATGACTCGTTAAATATTTATATATTCCTTTAAGTGTGTCCGGTCATAAAAACACAGGTGTGATGGACCAGGTTTTGGATAGCTGATTTGACACAAGGTAGTAATGCGGTTATGTCTTTGTAGTGTCAGTGGTGCAGCAGAATCGCACGCTGTAGTAATGGATTGGATAGACATCGACAGGAATGGTTGCATCATAGATGTGAAGCTTACCATGTCCAAAACCCTGAGGAATGTGTTGAACCTCCAGCAACTATCACTCCTGTAGACACCTTTGGTCACAATGCTAGCGTTGAGCCCTACAGTAAAGGTTTGTGAGAGATTTTTATTTAAATTTTTTTCCCTCCTGTAGTTGACAAATCGTACTGGATTTGTAAACCATTGCTAGTACAGTAGTTGCTTGAATTTATTTATTTATTTTTTATTTAATTTTTTGTAGGTTCTTTTGCATGGGATTTAATATTTATGGTAAGCTGCATTATTGAGCTATGGTGAATTATAATACATGCCTGCAACTTACTGAATGTTTGAGACAGTTTACTCTTTGCTAATACAATACATAAGGTGTGAATGATATATTTGAATTAAGTGATTGTATTTCGTAAGAAGCACAGTAATATGATGACTATAGCGCATTTTTTCCCAGCTGAGAAATGATGCCCCACCCCCTCCTCAAGAGTTACAGCTGATTGGCTGTTGCAAACCTGTCTGATTTCGTCATGTAATATTTCAATGTGATTCTGATTTTTTAGAAATTTTGTTTTTGTATAATGTAGTATGACTGATACTGTACTTAATTTGTCTTAGTTTGCCTTATTATGGGTAAAAATAAGTATACCCCTGTATATTAAATGCATCCTCCAAAAGCGTGAATTTGCTACCAGAGTTTAACAGTTAATTCATGTCTAATACTTCTGATAAACTTCCTTCATGCTTATGTTTGAAATGATGAATGTATGTATCTTTATATAATTTAGATAAATATCTTTCTTGTCAGAAATGGTCATCCCAATGATTATGAATAGGCTTATTTAGAAATACATCATTACTTCAGGACAAAATTGGACAGGTTTACAACAGCCAATCAGCTGTAACTCTTGAGGAGGGAGCGGTGCATCTTTTCTCAGCTGTATATGCTTGAAGACCTTATTTGTTAAAATTAAAGTGATGCATTGTAACATTGGTGACAGTTTTCTAGACTTATCTGTACTGAACCCGTATTTCATCTCGTGGGGGGGGGGTGTAATGATAAGGGAAGAGAAGAGAAAAAGAAAGGAGAATGAGAAAATTTAGGGGGAGGAAATATGAAGAAGGGAAATGGAATGTGACAAAGGGTGATATGTGAAAGGAGAGAGAAAGAGGAAGGAAAGAAGAAGGAAAAGACAGGAGAGTAAAATGTGCGAGTTAGAGAGAAGATGTTGAAGGAAATGGTGAAAGGGAAACTGATTCCAGAAGGGATAGGAGGAAAAGTGGATGGGTGAAGGAAAGGGAAGAGGAAAAGTTCTCAGTGAGGAAAATGGAGGGGACCACATGCCACAAAGAGGAATAAATTATGTTTTATTCTGTTGTATTCTAGAATATTGGTAACTATGATCAATAGACCTGGGGGGGGGTAAGGAAAACTTTTATTGGATGGGGAAACTACTTGGATGATGGTGCTGGTTACGCCTACCTCATGCTGCTGAAACTTCCTCATTCTGTCCGTCAAACAATGATAGAAATATAACGAGTTATCTTGGTTGCTGTGGTACTAGCTCGAGCTAATGTTAAATGAAGTGCACAATAACCTAACAATTGGTGTATTCATACTTGCACAATATTTATCATTGTTACATTATAAGCTTATCTGTTGAGTCATAATTGTTATATTTTACTGCACTTACACCATGTGAAAACATCATATCTGTACTGTTGTCATGGTTAATTTTACTCTTTGTATATAAGTAATATTAACATCTTCTCATATTAACCCAAATTTACAGCATTTGTGGTGGGAGTGTTGGATACTCAACAGCACCTGGGTTACCAGTTGTTGAATTTTATTGTAATTGCTGTCAATCTGTACTGGTGTTTGATTATTATGATCAGTGTTTTGGGTGATTCCATATGAAGCTCCCTTCTGTTTAACTAAATTAGAAATAGTACCATACAATATTTTTCAAGAAAGGGCTTTACACTGTTTTATTATGAAGGTACGGTGGACACTTAAGAGCAGGCGTTAGACACACACACACACTGAACATATGGAGTGCAGTACAGTACAAATAATTATTACAGTAGGTCACCACATGACTTATTTACCGCAGGTGAAGTCTGATGCATCCGGGATTAACCCTTTGAGTATGGTGACTCATCCACTGACTACGGTGTCACTTTACCCTCGTAGAATATTAATCATACTCAAAGGATGAAGATATCACACTTGAAGAATTAACTCTTTGGCTCCTAGAATGTTGTGGTACTGCTAAAATTTTGCATAAAAGACTTAAAAGAATTTACTGAGAAGGTTAGCTACATGGGCTAGACTGTCAATATGGGAAAGATGATAGAGATTTGTACTTCTTGATGAACACTTAAGTAATTTAGAATTTATAAATTTATGCATTATATGAGTATCCGTTACAGCAATGGTTACCCCAATACTGTAGTTGTTTGTCTGTATTCTACAAGTCATGGCTCTAGAGCGGGGGTTACCAAACCTGGGGTCGCGACCCCAAATGGGGTCGGTAGGGGCGCAAAGAGGTCATGGGGTCGCTGGGGTCCTTTGGGTCTGCCAGTGAAATGATTTGAGGTCGCACTGGATAGTTGACGACACTGGATGGGGTCGTGCTAGAAAAAGCTTGGGAACCCCTGCTCTAGAGATTACACATGTATGGAGGAGAGGTTATTACATTATCTTCTACATTAGTTATTCATCAAATTTAGTTGCTAGTGGTCCCCTGGAATATTTGACCTATATAATGGGGAGCCTCTTTCTGCCAACACCTCAGTGAACCAGTTATAATGCTGATAAAGAGATTTAACATTAACAAAACAATATTGACAAACTTTATACAGTATATATTTTATTTTTTATTCTCAAGTCTTAGTAATGTTTTGTGAGCTAGTTAATTCTTTAGAAGAACTGGTGCTCATGAGAAACAAAAGACCATCTATTATTATTATTATTATGTACACTTGCTCCAAAAAACTATCTTTACGATTTTGTGTGACACAACGAACGAAGGATTTTGACATCCCTATCGAGACAATAGGAGTCGCGGTATTCATTTTGAAATTCATCGAACCTCTCCGTAAACAAAATCGTGAAGTACAGGTATATTTTCCAGTATACTGTAATCTAAGTGTGTAATGTTGTCATTATATTCTGCCTTGATATAAAAAACATTAAATTAAATAAAAAACATTATTGATGACGTAGAAAATTATTTTGCCTGTACTGTATATGATAACTGAATGGTAAATGTACCCTAGCATGTAAACACAGTACAAACTTGCCAATAATCAGTACAGTAGTGTCTTTAATAAATACTGAATGTTGAGTGGTTTAGAAAATTTCACAAGATAGGGGAAGTCCTAGGCACATTGTGAATTTGGGGCCTGTTACATGATAAGAACATTAACAATCTTCACTTCAGAATTTTGCGTAGAACAAAATCACAAACCTTGAAGTAATTGGTTTTCTCAGACCAGGTTTTGAATGCTGTATGCATTTATATGGAACATGTTAGCATAGCCCAGTGTGCCGATGCCCTCAGAAGGTCCAGTGTTTATAAGGTTTCACAGAATAATCCAGTAGTCATAGATTGTATATTACTTTATATTCCACTTAATTTGTTGATGTTGTAGAGTTCAGTAAGCTACCCAGTAAATGAGAATCTTAGGAGAGATTGTGTGTTTCAGAATCTTCAAAGATGTTTGAACTCTTCTTGCTGCCTTTTGGAAGCATGATTCAAATGCTGCATGTAGATTTATTGTTGTGTGGTAATCCAACGGTAAACTCTTATAAACCACACACACACACACACTTGTTCCTTGACTTGCTAATCTGTTAATTTTGAGTTTTTATTTTTGAAATTATTTGTTGAATGGTCTGCTTTGCCTCCTTTTTCCCTCAAAATAAAGAAAGGCCAAGGTCATGGATCGTCGTTGTTGAAAGGAAACCCTTGATGAGTTGGACTGCAAATGATGGTAATATTTAGAGTATCATGGAGTAAAGCAGCAGTAGAGCCTGTAAGAAAAGAAACTGAAATACAGAGGCAGTCAATAATATCTTGGCAGGAGTTCAGAAGACAGGCACTGACTGTCTCTTCTCACAGGCTCACAGGCTTCCTCAGCCACTAACAACAGCAGCAGCAGAGGAAGCAACCTTCCCAACCAGGATACCTCTGCCAGCCTACCATCCCCTGACCTGCCTCTTACATCCACTAATGCCTCAGCTTTTTCCTTAAATAATACATCCAACCAGAACACTTCTTTTAGTCCACCCAGTTATCAGGTACCTTCTGCTTCCCCATTCTTACCCCATCCCTCTCCTTTTCCTCCATCCTCTACTCCTCTCCCCTCCTCTCCCTCTGCTCTGGATGCTTCGGACGAGAACAGAGTGATTTTATCGGACGGAGAGCCAGATACTTTGGCAAGCACATCAGGGAGAGGTAGAGTAGTTCTCGACATGGTGGTTTAGTGCATCTCATGCTATTGGCTTAGTGGTTCCTGCATTTCTTCTGTTCATGTGAAGGGTCTTCTAGATCTTCTCTTGTTTTTTTATTGCTTATGGATCAATGAACATACTTTTCTATATCTTTGTTTAAATTTGTGTTATGGAATCTTATGTATCTATTGCATGTGATTCAACTTTTCACTCCCAACCTTGCAAGGTGACTGTGCATGGTAGATTTTGCTTGGTATTATATTATATCTGCATGATCCAGTGCCTTGTCGTGCATTCATCCTGGCATCAGTAGTAGAGATGCTTCCAACTGTACAGTACTGGGGAACATCCTTTTATATATGTTTGTTCTTCATTGATTGAAATTATGCATTGCTTTGTTGTAGTGTCATAATTAATAACATCATTTTAACTTTCAGATGCGAATATTATTGTGAGTGCAGTACAGTACATGCCTTTCAAATTTGGGGATGTGGAAGGGTTCTCATTTTACAGTACTGTATTAAAAATTTGTGTTGAGTAAATGTGTCTGTGGTACTGTATTGTTAAAATAGCTTGTGTACATAAGAAACTTTGTAAGTTAAGGATAGTCATTTGTAAATTGTGTATTATATATGGTTTGTCTTCAGTGTTCATAGGTGACTAGTAATTAAGGAGTATGATTATAGTATTTCCACGCTAACCTGCCCCGTAAAGCTGTATTTTTGGTGTCATTTGTTTATGTTTGCTAATGCCTTGAAATCATTTGCATTTTGATAGTCCAGTTATTTAACATTAGTTTAGAGAATAACAGGTCTGCTTGCCAATTGTGAACATATTTAGTTTGAATAAATAGACAGCCACACGAACATTTTCTATGAACCAATCGGGTATTTTTATAGAAGAGGGGTGTGACTTATGGGTCAGGTTAGAATGGAAAGGGTATCGTAGGGAACCACCGTGAAGCAGATGTCACTGTCACAAATAGTATGCCAACTGTTTATCTTGGTAGCCCCACAGTGTTACAGGTACAGGTATTGCCAGGCCTGTCCTTCACTGACACCTCCTTTATTTGGACTTATTTACTGCAGCATCAGCCATGATTTGATCCATGCTACTGTGCTCTATTTTTTCCTTTTAATAATGTTCTTTTCCCTCTGTACATCTGTCCTTACCCCTCATTTAGTCCTCTTTTTAACATTTAGTTACTGTATCATTGCTTAGTCAGCCTCATGTTTCCTCTGTGATTTTATTCTCAGTAAGTAAATCTCAGCTACTGATGTTCCTCAAACCAATTTCTAGGTTTTTCAGGATAGATATCAAGTTGTTAAGGGTTGTGGCAATCATTGACACACACCTGATATAGAGATGTTCAGGAGCAAAAGTATGTGATGGAGATGGTGCTTATGTCATTTATTGTAATTTTAGGAGGAATTAAAGAAGAGTAATACCTCAATATAATTAGAGTACAGTATATATATACCTGTATATATATATATATATATATATATATATATATATATATATATATATATATATATATATATATATATATATATATATATATATATATATATATATATACAGTGGTACCCCACTTAACGCGGTCAATTGAACCCAGAGGGTCCCGCGTTAAGTGAAAACCGCGTTAAGTGAATAACAGAACATATGGGATTAATTCCAATAGAACCCAGCCCGACCCCCAAACTCCACTTTTTGACGACAAATAACTATGTTGTAGTAAAAATAACATCTTAATTTTATGATGGTACATGCACACAATTAATACTTAAGAGAAATACAGTCGCCAAGTTAATGTCCATTCAAATAATGGACTCAACTCCCTCCCCCTCTCACACTACAGTACACAGCCAGCTAACAGATGGTCGGTCGGTCCCTCCCTCCCCCCCCCCACCCCCCACCAACCGTCCCAAGGAGATGTGTGGGATAACCTCAAACTAAAGTTAGGAAAATATAATTGACATTGCTGGATTCCTTGTAAGACCAGGAATATTTTGAATATAAATGTCATATATTTTTCACAAAAGATAACATACTTACTCAGATTAAACATTTTATCTAAAAATTGTATGTTTAATGCAAAAAATATGTTGTTTATATTCAAAATGATCACCAAATTATAAGAATTCCAGCAATGTAAATTATATTCTGGCCGGATAATTTGTATGAATTTTATGAGCTAAAACAAATATCTACAGTTAATAAAAAAAAAAATATATTCTTCACACTATCTGTCAATCAAAGTACCCCACCTTGCCTCCCCCCCTCTTCCAACCGCGCGGTCAGTCCCAACCCTCCCCCCACCCCCCACCAATCCTCCATTCAAGAGTTTTTAACATTTAGTATTAAATAATACCTCAGATTAAAGTTAGGATAATATAATTGACATTGCTGGATTCCTTGTAAGACCAGGAATATTTTGAATATAAATGTCATATATTTTGGACAAAAGATAACATACTTACTCAGATTAAACATTTTATCTAAAAATTGTATGTTTAATGCAAAAAATATGTTGTTTATATTCAAAATGATCACCAAATTATAAGAATTCCAGCAATGTAAATTATATTCTGACCGGGTAATTTGTATGAATTTTATGAGCTAAAACAAATATCTTCAGTTAAAAAAAAATAATTCTTCACCGGGTAACAGATGGTCGGTCGGTTGGTCCCTCCCTCCCCCCCACCAACCGTCCCAAGGAGATGTGTGGGATAACCACTAAATTTTAATAAATAATACCTCAAACTAAAGTTAGGATAATATAATTGACATTGCTGGATTCCTTGTAAGACCAGGAATATTTTGAATATAAATGTCATATATTTTGGACAAAAGATAACATACTTACTCAGATTAAACATTTTATCTAAAAATTGTATGTTTAATGCAAAAAATATGTTGTTTATATTCAAAATGATCACCAAATTATAAGAATTCCAGCAATGTAAACTATATTCTGGCTGGGTAATTTGTATGAATTTTATGAGCTAAAACAGGCAGTCAGGCAGGGTGGCGGGTGGGGGGTGGTGCGAATCTAAAAATAGCTCTCGAGCCGGACACTCACCGCGTATACAGAACTTACTGGGACGTACGACCGTCTCAGTCGTACCAAAATTTTTTCAAATTACGTATTTTCGAGTCCCAGCGTTAATGATTGCGCTGTTTACTGACAAAATTTTCATTTGTAATTCACTTTAAAATGGCTGGTAAGCTTAAAAGTGAGAGTTTTGTGGTGCTGAGAAGAAAAAGAGACACCCATTTTAGATTTTCTATGTATTATTTAAGCATTTTCGACTTACGACCAATTCGACTTACAACCTGGATCCCTAACCTCGTTGTAAGTCGAGGAGCAGCTGTATATAAGAACTTAGGCTATGATATAGTGGGATTTTAAACATTATTCTGTAAGTACGGTATATATATAACATGCGTTCCGACTTATGTTCATATCCGACTTAAAATCGTCCTCAGGAACGGTACCCATTCGTAACCCGGGGACCCCCTGTACTGTACACTCAAGTTTAATCTGTGACATTCCTTAGGATGCAACCATTGATTTAATGCTTGATGTTATGGAACACTCACATTTATACAGTAGTGTGTAATACACCAAAATGCACTGTTTGAAACCTTAAATTATATACAGTAATACCCCGCTTTACGCGGTTCTCATTTACACGTTTTACATTTACGCGGTACCCTGCCAGAACCGGAATTCCCACTTTACACGGTGCAGGTGCATCTACTCATATGCGCGGGTGAAGTATAATTTTTTTATTTAGCTCATAAAATTCATACAAATTACCCGGCCAGAATAAAATTTACATTGCTGGAATTCTTACAATATGATGATCATTTTGAATATACCGTAAACATCATAGATTTTGCATTAGACATACAAATTTTAGATCTAATGTAAGAATTTTGTTTACTCATAGCAAATATGTTATCTTTTGTGCAAAATATATGACGTATATATTCAAAATATTCCTGGTCTTGCAAGGAATCCAGCAATGTCAATTATATTATCCTAACTTTAGTCTGAGGTGTTATTTATTACTAAAAATGTAAATATATTGTTTTACCCCAAACATTTCTCTGGTAAGGTGGGGGGTAGGGAGGGACCCAGCGAGCGTGGGAAGAGGGGGGGGAGCCGGAGAGGGGGGTATTTTGATTGACAGATAGTGTCTGGGTGAAGTATATTTTTTTTATTTACTGAAGATATTTGTGTTAGCTCATAAAATTCATACAAATTACCCGGCCAGAATATAATTTTCATTGCTGGAATTCTTACAATATGATGATCATTTTGAATATAAACATCATAGATTTTGCATTAGACATGCAAATTTTAGATCTAATGTAAGAATTTTGTTTACTCAGAGCAAATATGCTATCTTTTGTGCAAAATATATGACGTGTATATTCAAAATATTCCTGGTCTTACTAGGAATCCAGCAATGTCAATTATATTATCCTAACTTTAGTTTGAGGTATTATTTATTACTGTACCTTAAAATCTAGTGTTTTCACCCAAACCTTTCTCAGAGAGGGTGGAGCCAGCGAGCGTGGGGAGGGGGGGGAGTGGAGTCCATTATTTGAATGGACATTAACCTGGCGACTGTATTTCTCTTAAATATTAATTGTGTGTGCAAACCATCATAAAATTAAGATGGTATTTTTACTACAACATAGGTATTGTGTCGGAAAAAGTGGAGTTTGGGAGTCGGCCCAGTCTCTATTTAAATTAATCCCATATGTTCTGTTAATCCATTTACGCGTTTCTCGTTTTATGCGGACCTCTGCGGGTTCAATTGACCGCGTAAATCAGGGTATTACTGTGTGTGTATATATATATATATATATATATATATATATATATATATATATATATATATATATATATATATATATATATATATATATATATATATATATATATATATATATATATATATATATATATATATATATATATATATATATATATATATATATATATATTCTTATTTCCAATGGGGTTATCAGCATATATATATTAACCATGCTTCCAAATTCCCAGGTGTGACATTTTACTCCTCTGTGACCCATATACATGTACTGAGTTTCTTATTTTCTTCCTATTTTATTCTTCATGACCTATGATTGTACATGATGTTGTAGTATTATGCTTCTGAATTATTTTACCGAGTGATTCTTGTCGGCCAGTATTTGAAGTTCAAACAATGTATACTATATCTGTTAACCATTCTGCTGATCCTGAATTTAGAGTTACTACTAGAGTTCAGATGTTCTGACAAAATGCCATAAATGCTTATTTCTGCAGTTTTAATATACAGTAAAGTGACTATTTTCATAGGTTTTTATATAATTCTGCTATTGGAGAACTTAAGTGTTTATTTAATCACTATTTGGCTGTCCTTAAAGAAAAGAAAATATCCTGCTTCTTTCCATAAACCAGATTACTTAATGTTAAAATCAAACATATCCTACTGCACTGTTTTAACGGGTACAGTACTGTACATGTGAATATATCCTGACACGACACCCATTCTCTGCGGCTTGGACCGTACTGTTTGAATCGGTCAGTTCAGAAGCAATGTGTTGTATATAGATGGGGCAGTATTATCTGGCAAAATGTGCAAAAACAAAATTGTTAAGTATGAGAAGTAGTACAGTCGTGGTCAAAAGTAATCATCCACTCCACCACCAACCCCTGCGCTTGGCCAGGCCCTTTCTGCATGGTAAGTCATATGGGGTGGAGAAGGGAAACAGTTCACTTGAGGGAGGGCCATTTGTATGTGGGGGAGGGGTGTGGGAAGGTGGTAAGTGATGCAAATTGCTCATCAGAGAGGGAGGTGGATGAAGAAAGCAGGGAAATTTATGAAAGAAGAAAGGGATGAATGGATAAAAGTTTTTTCTTACTATATTATCTTAGATTTACATGCTTGAATGAGTAACAGATGAGGAACCATATTTTATGATTCTTATAATGTGCCATTCATTTCCTTATTTATAATTTTTTCAGATTGTTGGTGAGATTTTAAACAATAGAAATTAGATACTTATAATAATGCTGGTATGAGGAGAAATATTGAAAACGAAGGTGGAAATCACATTTATTTTTAATATACCCTGTATACCAGTGCAGGACATACAGAATCTCATTAGCCCATCCACTGTCCTCCTCGTCTGTCAATCGTGGTTTCCCGGGTCTAAAATTATATCATTTATATGAATTAAGAGTTCGAATACTCGTATGTTTTGTTTACATTACACACCCTAAATTAGTCATTTTAATATATCAAATGCCAGCAAACCACCAAAAATACTCACCACACCCAGTTTCCCAAGTTCCCAGACTCCTCCCAGTGGGTTGACCAACATCTCACAGGCTGCCTGGTGATCCCAACATCACTTCCAATTTCTGACACATTGTATCAAGTCATACGCAAACCGATAATTTGCCTGCGGCTCACCAATTGACGTTTTTTAGCGTCCATCCTGGTCGGTCTGGGTGTGAAGCAGTGGCCAAACACCATTGCCACTATCACCTCACATTGATTTTCACAACTTTTTGAAACATATTACAGGGTGGACAAGTTACAGTGTATCCAACAATTCATTCAATTTTTTTTTTTTTTCAATTAATAGTGATTTTTTCTTTTTCAAGAACGGTAGTGGTGAGAGGTGAAAGTGAACAAGTAACAGCCTAGTTTAGTGTTATTGGTGGTGAGCAAGCCTTACCCCTAACACACTCTTATGTTGTCATATCAGGGGCTTTCCCTCATGGAAGCCAGACACTTTATCAACCCTAATGACACATTACCTGCTAAATGCTCACTTGCATTCCTCCCCAGAATCTCGAGTAAAGGCACAGATAACTAAGGGAAAGTTAAGTCCTTATGACACCTCCCCGGACACCTGCCTTTCTGGTTGGTTGGGCCTTAGGCTGTCAACTTCAAGCTACATCCACCAACCAAGGTGTTAAGGATAATTCTAAGACTTCATACACTCTCACTACATATGGCCCTTGACATGTGCACTCCTACCTTACCCGGGTCTGCCACCTCTAGTTCTCCCCTCTCCCCCCATCAATACCTCCTCCATCCTTTTGTAACCTGTTGTGTAGAAAAGCCTTGAGCTCACAGGTATGGTAGTTGGAGGGGTGGATGTTTACTTTTGACTGTGACTGTACTTTGTTTATCAACATTTAGACACTTTCAACCACAAATTGGTAAATAGAGTACAATATTGTACATGCCTATTCAGTTCATATACTACAGCTTCCAGTCAGCAGTCTCAATTTTTGTTGGACTTGTGCAAGGCATTTGTTGATGCCAAAATTCCCCTATGGAAACTGGAAATTAAGTCTGAAGTATTTTATGGAGAAATACTCCAAGGAGAATGTACCACGTGAGGCTACCTTACGGACACCTGTAAAGATATCTTGCCCACATTTTCTCTCTGAGGAGCAGCAAAGTTTCAATTGAGAAAATTAATAAATTTTGCTCTTTTTGCAACTTATTGATTATTTAACTCTATTTTACTAACAGTCTTGTAATACTTTACATAAAATTTGTATAATTATATTTTAAGTGACTAAACATCTGGGCTCTAGTTATTACACAAAAATTATAACAAATAAGAGGAAAAGATCAGGTAAAAGTGTGGTATATTTAGTTAAAGTTAACCTGATTAGAAAGTTTTAAAAATTTCTTCATGTGGCATTGAATTCTGTTGCAGGTAAAGAACAAAGTAGTTCAAGTGTAGGTACGGTGATTGGAGTGGTGTTTCTGGTAGCACTTGTGCTGGGTATAGCTGGATGGGTCACCTATGCATATTTCTTCCCACATTCCGCCTCTGGTCAAATTCTTATTCAGGTAAGCTGAACAGTATTACACTGTGCAGGTGTGAAAGTGTATACCTGATAAATCATTGTAATATCAGTCAAATCCCTTGTGTTTTATTATATATTTCAGGGACTCAATTCACATATGCCTTTACTCACATAGCTACTGAATTTAGGGTTTTATTAATTTAATCCTTATTATTCCAGTGAGTTTAATTATGTTCATTGAGACACATATGGTGAATAGAAGAGTGTAAGGAAAATGTGTATCCCAGTTGTTTGTGTTAAGAATATGAATGAGAAATATTTGAAGGAAGGAAAGATTATTTGGTTTATGTTAATTTATAGATCTGCAGAAATGGTGAGTTGATTGTAAAGTGATGTGAGAAGTATTAAAGTGTGATGGATAAATGGAAAAATTATTGTATGTCATTTAAAGTATTTGGAAAAAGGGAACTGATTTCTAGTGACAGTAGGACGAAATCAAGGTTGTGTTGTGTCACCATGGTGTTCAGTATTTTCATAGATGGGGATAGTAAGAGAAATGTAAACATAAGTGAAGGAGGAGGAAGGGTTTCTTGAGTGGTTGAAATCCAAAAAATATACTGGGATAGTGACAAGAGCCAGACCACAGTGGAGAAGAATTTTATAAGATTGTAGAAGTGAGTGGAGATGAAAAATCCAGTGAGGGATCAACTTGGCTAAACAGTTACATTTGTAACTTGGAGGAAACTTGAAAGTTTTTTCTTATCCTTTTCTTAAAACAGTATAACATTTTATTCTGATAATTCTAGGTGCATCTAGTTCTTCCATTTATTTGGGGATGCAATACTGTACTATATGGTCATTAGATATATGTGTTGATAGTTTCCAGTTCTACCACTGAGTATACATTGCAGTATCACATTCATTTATGTTGTTGCAGTACCGCCCCAGCACGTGGTCATGGAAGATGGGAGAGGCCCGCTACACTGCTGCTTCTATTCACAGTATTCACATGTGAATTTCTAGATGCAGTTACGCTCATCATCATATTGTTCCGTGGCAGTGAATTGGAAGATTCCCAGTAAGATTCGTGACAAGTTAAATGTTGAGATTATTCAAAACATTCTCATAATACAAACAATAGTTGAATGAAACAAAATGGAGAGTTTTAAAGTTGGATTTAGGGTAATGACACACTTGTTGATTCTGTGCATATTATAATTTTCTTCCTTCCTCATTAACTTGCACTCTGCTTTGTGCTCATTTCTCAGGTAATTTTATGTGCTAAGCCTGCCTGGAAATAGGTAATATTAATCAGTTTTCTATATTTTGTCTTGAATAACTTTATTTGCATTTTGATTGGAGATTTTATAGAAATCATATTCTTTTATTTAGTTGCATTTTGTTTGCGGAAGAATCATCATTTGTCAATAAAATTTCTTCCATTTATTTTGCTAACAAATTCTGTGATTGTTTATATTCTGATTAAGATCTGACTTGTCCTGCAATTTTTCTACAATTGTTTTTAATGTGATAAAAAAAATCCTTCGTTAGTTGCAAATGATATTATTCCACAGTGTAAACTTGAGTGGAATAGGAAGTAACTTCTTAAAAAGCAGGTTCAGGTGAACTAGCAGGTAGTGTTAAGATCTGTAACACAAAATTAAGGATTTTTCTCCTTATGTTATAAACCCCGAGCTTCCCGACTCCAAATGTAAACCAATGAGTGTAATTTTGGATTCCGTTATGTAACATTTGTATGTATTCATCCTAAGTAATTATCCTTTGGGACACTAACCAAAGAGTTATGGAAAGATGTAGTATAATGACTGTACAGTACTATAAAACCCAGGGACAGGAAAAGTAGTGAGCGGGGTGAATCTCAAACCACAGTATGAGGTATTATTGTTCAAGTGAAGTAACTCAAGTGCAAGAAGAGCAAATCAGACAGGCCATCTGCTGGATCCCATGAGAAAAGATAAGAATGAGAAAATGTCCTACATTCAAATAGAGCGGTGAGATTGGGAGTTTTGGAGATGGGCACTGGGCAGGATAAGTTGAAGATCGTGTAAACATGTAAGGGAAGACCTTCATCCAGCTGGAGACAGATACAGGCGGATGAATTATATACTGTATACAGTATATTTATATGTGAAAGGGTGGTACATATCATACAGAAATTGTTAGTTGTTTATGCAGTGGAAACTTAATATCACCCATTTCCCATTGGTGTAAAAAAAATAAAATAAATTAGTGACACTGATTCATGGACTGGGAGTAATAGATATAAACTGATTGAATGTCAATCATTGTAGAAAATAAAGACAAACAAAAAAAATCAATACATGTATCGGTATTATTTAAGAGCAAATTTTGGTTGCCATCACAAATCTAGAAGTATTCAAATACATATGATAAATCTTAATGCTTGTAAGTAATGAGAAGATACTTTATTACTGTGTTATAATCGGTAAACCTGCTGCAGGTACAAGAACAAGTAATCAGCAAGATGATAAAATGCCTGTACTTGTATCATGGGAAAATTAAGTAATTCTAGGCCTAAGTTTGCAACATGGCTGCAATACCTTATGTTTTCTTTTTTACTATAAGAGGCTGAATACATCTGAAGGCCAGGTTATTTTACAAAGTCGTGTCCCCAGGCTACTCCCTAATATCTTTGTTGTTCCAGCATAATCACTGGTGCTGGGCAAGTAGTGACTGAAGCAGGCAACAGCGGTGTTCAGGTTTACCCAAGATTGGGTTGGCAACACACTGATGCTCCTCCATCATATTTTTTGTTGACGATATGCTTGCCCATTCAGCAAATAGCTTGTGTCCGATTGTCCCCTGGGCAATTTGTGTTCACTGATCATAAAAAAAAATATTAGTACAGGGTAGTCTAATTTTTCAAATCAGAGTTTAATATACAAAAATGAGGTACTGAAGTATTAAGAAATCACTGACATTGTCTAACCACTACATTCACAGTCACTAATATTGTTGTTCTTGGCCCATAATGAGAAAATTAGATCATCTGAAAATGTTGCTTCTAGATGCAGTATACCACTTTCAGTAAACATTTTTAGAGAGCAATAAATCCCATGCAAATTTTACTAAATCATACTACAATAGGTAAATCATTTGACAACCCGTATTTAAACATACAGTAAAACCTCCATACACTGGACTAATTGGGGCAGACCCCAGTCTGGAAAATGCAAGTCCCCAAAAAGTGAATCTAGGAAGGGGCATAACACTGCTTATCTGGACTGTTTCAAGAAAATCATTTGTTGTTATAATGTCATTACTGCGCTTCAACAGCTATGGTCTTTTAAGTACATAAAAGATTAGTAAAATACTATTACATCAATAAACAATATGAGAGCTAGAACTCTCTGGGTTGAAAATCAGACTAAGTCTGGTTGTTGACAATTGTTTTCACTGATTTTTTTTGTACTGTAAAGTGTTGTGTTAGGTAACCACAGAATTTGCCTTATGAATAAATGGAAAACTGTACAGTACTATAAATATAAAAATTTGAAAAAATAAAATAAAAGGGTAGGGGTATATTTATTGTGTGTGGGAGGTGAGAGTGATCTGGGAGCAGCAGGCCGGAGGTAGTGCGGGTGAGTGGCTCCCTTCCTCGGGATCCCCATGCAATTTTACCATAATTTCCATATTATTTAGATGCATTTGGTACTCGATTGATATAACATTATCGTAAAATAATCAACTTTCCTGACAAAGAATCCCAAACTCAAACTCAGATAGGTCATTGCGTCGTATTAAGTTCCAGTTGTTTGTATACAAAGCCGAAACAGCTGATCATCCTAGCTCATTCACCAGTGCTCTCCATCTCTCATGCATACCACAACATCTGTCTTCAGCACTTAGTAAATAGTACTGTATTGTATTTATCAGCACTTAACTAATATTGTAGTGTATTTATGAGCACTTAGTAAATAATAGTGTAGTGCATTATGCATCTGCATATTTCCTGGTTTGTTCATTAATCAGTTGTCTAAGTGTAAAAGTAGCCAAATCGAGGCATCAGATAATAAATAACATTAAGAAGGTATAGTGTCCATATCAAATACGATACAGGATGCTATAATGACCCTGATGTAAGCTGATTTGCTAAAAGCACTCCAGGAATGCATCCTGAATGAATACTATAACTTCAGATACAGCTTATCCTTTTACTGTCAAGTCAAATAACGGATATATTTTTCTATTATTGAATATGTTATAATTATTATGAGGAATCACAGCTCATAAGTCTAATCGTATTCTCATAATATTGAATCAATAAATAAACCTGACAAATGCGGCAATGCTCCCCACCCCCCACCCCTTATACATATGCAATCACTTAGGCCTACAGTAAGTCTAATTTGATCACTGTGCATTAATCAGTAAGCAAGTGGGGTTTTTTATTATTATTTTATTTTACCCATTTCTTAATTCCCTCAAGTATCTCCGTTAAAGACAATGCGTAAATAAATCTAAGTGGCGAGGAGCATTACACTGATACAAAACATGAAGGTAGGACTGAGAAACGTGCCGCTGCAGTCGCACAGACGTTCATCCGCACGTAAGCACACACAAACCGTCCGGACTGATAATGGATTTTCTGGACTTTTTTCATTATTTCTGGTGAAAAGAGAGGCAGTTCAGAATACCTCAGTGAAAAAAAAATTGCGATGTATTGAATTCTGGTGTATAGAGGTTTTACTGTACAATACCTGTACAGTAGTTCCTTTTGTGATCCCATACTGGTGAAAGAGATAAGTCACATTCAAACTGTATACTAATGTCAAGCGCTAGTAGTGGAAATGGCCTTTAATCTGAATACAAGTTGCAGAAATTCTTCACTAAATTAAATTGGTCACTCATGTACATAAATCTGTGCAAGTATTTCCCCATCTGCTCTTTCAAGTCATTTGCTGCTGTAATTCAAGGTCAATAGATTCAAGCTCAAACATACATGCAGACACTTCCATAATTTGCAATAATTAATTCATACTTTAATAATATGTTCTGCTATGGTCTTCCTCTTCCACTGTCACATCACACATCCTTCATATTAACTGATTCTTTGTCAGCAGTCTGTTGAAACTGGTGCACACTTATCTATGTGCTATTGTAATGGGTGGTAATGTTAATGAAGAGTTATGATTGTGTGGCCTTAAGTACGAATGTTTAAAGTCGACTGTGTAAGAGGAAACTATGATCGGGGATTCACCTCTCAAATGCCTGGATAATGTCTGTTGATACTGTTAGTTTTGTGATAGAGTTTTGTGTACAGTGAAGGAATTTTTATGTAGAGGAAGAAGAGTAAACAGATATACGTACAAAATTTTAGTCAACAACTGCTTTTTGTACTTGGAAGATACACGTGAAACTATAATTATTGTGAGTCATCAATATTTGCATTTGATATCACTTCTGGTGTTGATACACATGGATGGTTTGTAAAACTTAATGCACTTAGCCCCTAGTGGTAAAAATGAAGTTTGTGATATTGATGTGTCAAGAATTAGTGAAATTTCCAAAGTTTACCCCCTGATAATAAAGTCAGATATGTGTAATTTAGAAAATATAGTGGTCAGTCACACATGGAACCATAAATTAAGGTCTTTCATGAGTTTTGCTGCTGTGGATATGACACCAAGTCTATCCTTTCCAACTTTCAAATCTTGTTGGAATATTTGTCTTTCAAAATATAAATATTGAAAAAAGAAAAAGCAATCTAGTTAAGCTCAGGTTTGTTGCTAGTTTCATACAGGTCTACAGAAATTAAGTAACTTAAAGGACACTCTTAATCACTTACATTTTAGTTACTGGGTTCATATTTTTGCCAGTATGAGAATATCCATGTTGAGTTACTGTTATAAGATCCATAAAGGTCATTGAGCCAAGAGGCACACAAGCACTTTATAGTTTTCCAACGTACTGTATGACAGTAAACAATATAGAATGGTTGAGTTTTAGATATTTTATGAAGTGGCTCAAGTGAGAGGACTGGAAGACAGTAGAGATTAGACAAAATTCTCTAAGTGCAATTTCTATCATCAGATTTCACTGGTTTAGGGGTGCAAAGTGCATTGTCATATAAACCCTAATGTAATATATATATATATATATATATATATATATATATATATATATATATATATATATATATATATATATATATATATATATATATATATATATATATATATATATATATATATATATACACTGTACATAGATACTGAATATTTGGTATTAATCATGAAGAATGTGTTCAATATAAAGGGCAGTGTTTGTGTTTCATATGCAGTACTGTACAGTACAAGATTCTTGGTTTGGTAATGAGTTTCATAGCATGACACTTGAAGTACAATGTTCAAGTACACCGAGTCTCCACCGAAAGACGTCCTTTAGAGTGCCTTAAGTCAGTTTTCAAACTAATAATAGAGACTTATTCAGTATTTTTAACTGCACCTCCATAATTCAGCTACAGTTACGTCAATATGAGGTTTTATATTTCATTATTGTATATAAAAATTGTTCTTCTCATAGGTTATGTTATTCTGTATAGATGATAAGTTACTTTACTTACTGTAGAGTTTGAAAGTAGCCAACATCTCTGTAATGAAAGACTTAGATTGTATATGTAGATTGAAAACAATTAAATGCCTTTCACTGTATAATTGGATCTTGTATGTATAATAATGTGACTTTATTGGTAGATAGCTGTATTTAATAGACTTTATGGTAATTAGTTTGATTTATATTTTTTAATACAGAAATTTCTTATGATTTGCCTTATATTATTTGTAAGGAGCCCATCTAAGGTATTTCTAAACTTTGTAAAGTTGGCTTGTACCTAAACAACATTTTTGAAGCCTTCAAATTTTGTACTATAGCTTTTGTAACAGAGTTAAGACAGTGGATTGACTACTAGCTTGGTTCTAATTTTATTCTGTATATTATTTCTTGGATATATATTTAATATTTCCTCAGTATGTTTAGGCTGAATTTACTCTACCATTTTGGAAAGAATTCCCTCAACCATTTTAACAATACTGTACCATGGCTTCTACCTGAGGGCTGTGTAGGCTAGAGGGATTAGGATTTTAACATATTACTTACATGTGTCTTTGTATTGTAGAATGTGTTTTCCTGTTATTAATTTTGACTATATGTGTATTGAAATGCAGCATTTACCACCTATAAATCAATTACAAGTAAGACCCGAAAGTATACGTCAGATATTGCCAAGTGTCAAGGACTTTTGGCTGAACTTATAGTCATTTGTTAATTGCACATGTTGTTTTTAGGCACCTCTTGACAGTGTAGTGGTTAATGTGGTGTGTTTGCAAGTCAGGGTTGTCTTTATCCCTATTGCCAGAGTGCTAGGAAATGTGGTGTATTACGACTAAAATATGAGTACAGTAGTAACATTGGGACTTTGGATAGAAAACTGGGAATATTCTGCTTCAACAGATTGCTGCCAACTCCATGCTTATAAGTACAATTAATTGTGATGGAGACACTCTTGTGTGGTATTCAATATGGGGTCTACACAAGGGATTATTTATTATGCTCTTGAAGCTAACATCCCAGTGGAAGTGGGAGATAGCATACGACAATAATACCTTTCAATTTACTGTACAGCCTCTTGTTTGCAGGCCTCATCCCTTTCATCAGTGGGTGGGTTTGTCTGCTAGTAAGAACTATCAAAGAGTAAAATTCACTAAGCTAGAGGTCTTCTCTAGTTTTGAATTTTGCATGTGATCTGACATACATCTGAAAGGTTTTAGTCATTATTGTCTACTAAGGAACTGTCCATTAAGTGAACCTTCTTTCCCATTATCATAAATCAGTGTACTATGTGTCCAGTATACTTAAGCATGCTAGTCAGCAAACAGCACTAATTAACTATGTTTTAATGCACAGTATTTCAAAAAAGTATCTGTCCACACTATGTAAAACATTATGAGACTGGATGATAGATATTGGGACATGCATTTATTTTGATATACTGTATATTTTGGCATAATTAATATGATGTTTGGTTTTCAAATGTAAAAGGAACAGTATGCCACAGAGCCACGCATATCAACCCTCCCGAGACATGACAAGTTGCATGTAGCATTTCAGAAGTCATTGGACCCATCCTGGCAGATAATTTTTTGAGATACTGTACAGTGCTTGTGTCTCATGATTGCTGTTCCCTCCAAAAGTCCTCCTGGCTCTTCTGTACTCTGGTAATTTTGTGAGGACACTTTCCACATTTAAAACATTTTCAAGTAGAAGTATTGTACACATCTACTTCATGTTTACAAAATTACTTGTGTGATCCAATAAAGAACATACTGTATATTGTGAAGTGTTGTGGTAGCACTAACAACATTCCTGAAACACTGCCACAAAAGTAAATGTTGGATGGGGTTACAAGAGGTGAACTGCTGACCCAGAAAAGTTGACACTGGCCATGCCATATGATGAGCATCGTTAACAATAAGGTAAATAAAAACTGTAGGCTCCTCTTATACTCTATTGCACAATCAACTGCTGTGACACTATTAAACTGTATTTTGTATTTTTTCAGCTTGTTAATGTAAATTGTGGGTGTGCACATTACATATTTTGAAAGAGTTATTGTATTAACTTTTTAGATTACATATTACCCACTTTGCATCACTTCCAAAAAAAAATCCTGTACTGAATGGAAAACTTCCCTTTAGCAACAACTCACTGCCCTAATAAGCCCACTATCAAGAGATTCTTGTGTGTGTATGTGAGAGAGAATTAATATTATATGGTCACCCTGTGTTATAGAGGGAAAGGACTTAAGAGTGTTAAAACATACTAAATCATGGCAAACCTTTGATAGAATATTCCAGACTTGGCTTGTGGTAGATGTTGAAGTAAGTGGTGCAATATATTTAGAAATGGAAAATGTGTGAATATTGTCTATTAGATGATGTGTGTTACTTCCCACACTAATGTGATCTGTAGATATGTACACAATTCTACCTTCTTAAAGACAAAATTTTTCTTACCAACTAGCATTTTATATTCATCTTATTGATTTGCCTTGGTTAGAGATTGACAATAACTTAGTACACTTGTAATTTATTTTACACCATCAGAAAGTGTATTTATGTTGCAGTGCAGTGTTTGCTCATGGATGGTTACTTGTTGACGAAAAGTAGCAGCGAGACTCCACAGTAATATTGTACAGTACAAGGGTATCTGTATTCATATTTACAAAACACTTCCCATGAAGAAATAACTCAGAAGGTTTTTTACCATCAAAATTAATTGATTTTTCAGTCATTTAAATAGCCCTTAAACATCACTGTATTTGTATTATTTTGTGACACTGTTGGTCAATGTTTGCATAAGAAACATTGTAATATTTACCATAATGTTTGTGTTTTGGAAGTGTCCCTTTTCATGCTCCAGATCCTGTTTAGTGTTAACTAGTTTTCTTCTGTTGTCAAGGGTTAACTGATTGGTGACAAATGGGAAGTACCTTTCAGGATTATAAAGAGTGAAGGTAATATTGTGCCTTTAATAGATGATGGTTTGTAGAGTGCCTTATCTACCTCATGGAATTTCTTTCATAGCACATCTTTCTTCTACTCTTGACTGGGATGTTAATAAGAGATGCAAATCATTAAGGTTTAGCTAAACAAAGTGGAAGGAAAATATTACATAGAAAACTAAATATCAGCTTCATAGATCTATGGAACCACTGTAAAATTATGCAGTACATGGCAACCTTGAAGAGCTGTTGGTACTGTCACTGACTGAATTTTTTTTAACACCAATTTGGTTATTTGGGGAACTATGAAGGATATTTGTGTATTAATATTGTAGCTATATATTTTGGGGAAAAAATACTTTGTCGAGGCCAAGATACTGGTATGAGACCCTCTTAATAATTATAAGAGGGTAATGCATTGGAAAGAAACCATTTAAAATTGAAATTGGTTTTCCCTCAGATTGTTGCAATTGAATAAGGTTACAGAGAATCACCAAATTGTTCAACTTATATTACTGTTCAGTAATAGTTTACCAGTACATAAATTACCCGTACAAGATTAACACTAGTACATGTACTCGACCCATGAAAAATATATCTAGTTATTATTTAATGATATTAATACAGATCTAATGATTTAAGACCTTTCACACACAATAACTTTGTGTATAAAAATCTTTGAAGTTAAAATTTATAACTGGAGTACCACATCTTCAGATACAAGCCATGTCATCAACCTCTTGTCTATTGGGGGTTTTGACTCCAACTTAAGGTAAATAGACACTTTATATCTAGTTTTTATTGTGCCTAAACTATTCAGTACCATCCACTCTTGAGGCCTTAAAGGAAATAATGATCTTGATGTCATATCCTGTAGGTAACTTATAGTGTAGTGAAATGAATGGACCAATGTTTAATGAATTAATCCCTTGACTTGTTCAAGTTGTGAGTAGCTCCCAGTTTACTAATTGATGAGAATGGTAATCATTATACCTTTTAAGCCACCGAGAATGCAAGTTAGAATATCATTGGGATTGTAAAAGAAGAGCATATGTAAACAGTAAAAATTTTGGTTTTATTGCAGACCAATGTTTGTTTGATCATTTATACTTATTATTGTTTACTAAATTAAAAAGCATAGACACTTATAAGTTCAGTAAAATTATTCAATGTTATTCTGTACATAGAAAACCACTTTGTATGCAATGTACAGAGCTAATATTGTAATATTATAAGATTTTGATGAATAAATGTGCTGTTAAGTTTCTTCGGTAATGTGTGCCAGTCTTACATTTGCCAATGTTTAAAATTCACTTCATGTACTGTTGGTGTTACTCTTGGGGTAACTTTTGCTGGAACATCTTGCAAAGCTTGATTATGGGCTTAGTTGAGACTTTGAAGGTAAATGTAATGTTTTCCAATGTACATGATTTAAAATTAGTGAGATAGACTTGCAATAAGTTATGTAGAAGATATTTACATTAGCTGGAAAGATGTACCCTATGTTTTAAAAGTGAATAAGTCTCCTGTGGATGCATAACACATATCTAGAAATGCTTCAAAGATCCGAGACCTCTTGTAAGTACCGTACTGTAAAGGTATATTGACAATAACATTGTAGTACACAAGGGAATTTTGACCCTTTGAGCTGTAAGTTTTAGGCACTTCCAGTGTAATTCACATTTTAGAGAGGTGTGATTTTATAACATAACATGAATCTGTGAGCCAAGCTGGTTGTTATCCACTCTATGGTAAATGGAAGAGAGCTTTAAAAGTTTGATAATGATTAGTATTAGTTATTAAGAGAATCATTCACAATAGTGAGCTGTATCTAAATGATTGATCTATGTGTACAAGCACAGTAGCATCTTTTACACATACAATATAAGATTAGGATGTTCATCAATTATGGGAAACCCTTATTTGAGAGCCTGAAGTTCGTAGTTATTGATTCAAAAGTATGTCACAAAACAAGAATGTTATATGTATTGTGTACCTAGTGTCATGTTTTTTAGTAGCCCAGCTTAAGGATAAATTGCATTATAGAAGGAGTAATACAAGGAAAGGCTTAATATTAGAAATGCATTTTGTGAGGAAGTATGGTAAAGGTTTTGAATTAAGTTGTGAAGGAGCTACCATGCACAAAGTAAATTATAATTGAAGATAAAGTATTTAAATAACAATACATAACGTTTGAAATACTATCAGGACACTTTTCACTGGCACGGAATTCGTGATGGTTTATCAATTTTTTTATTACCACTGTTCAACTATCCTGGGTACATTTGTAACATATATTGTAAGGAAGGTAATTTAAATTATTGATTAGCTTATTGGCAGGAAAAAATTTGTTGTAACTTGTGAACAAATACCATGCCAAACAACCTTATGCAATATACATTTTCTGTGATACAGTACTTTCATATCATATGTGGCCGTGTATGTTTGTAAGAGTACAATAGGATGAACTTTTTCATTTTGAGGACAGAATACCACTCCAGCAAAACATTATTTTTGCAAGCACTTTACTGGGGCTAATCTTTATGCAATGTAAAAAAAAATCATATGGTAACCAAAATTTTAAACACATAGGCACTAGTGCAAATTCACACAAATACAGGTGCTCACTTGTGCATACTACATACATTAATATATATATATATATATATATATATATATATATATATATATATATATATATATATATATATATATATATATATATATATATATATATATATATATATATATATATATCACACAAAACCTTAGTTTTATAGCATATAATACATTAAAGACTAAGCAGTAACCGAAGAGATTTTCATTGTAAAAAATATCAAAATGTTCCTGTACTCTACCTACTCTACAGTACTGTACTGTACTGTACTCTGCTACTGACCTGTACTGCACTTTACTTTCCTGTACTCTACTGTACTATCCTGTACACTACTCTACTGTACTATCCTGTACACTACTGTACTATCCTGTACACTACTCTACTGTACTATCCTGTACACTACTCTACTGTACTATCCTGTACACTACTCTGACTGTACTACTCTACTGTACTATCCTGTACTCTACTGTACTATCCTGTACACTACTCTACTGTACTATCCTGTACACTACTGTACTATCCTGTACACTACTCTACTGTACTATCCTGTACACTACTCTACTGTACTATCCTGTACACTACTGGACTGAACTGTATTCTACTCTACTGGACTGAACTCTACTGCCCTATATTGTACTATACTATACTATACAGAGTATATCATAAGTGTTCAGGTTATGCCTCAGTTACTGTGTTCATATCCTATGTTCCTTGTGCCCTCCATTAACATTCTGTATATACTATAACATATATTAATGTACCAGTATTTATTTTTAAATACACTATAGTAAAAAAAAAATCATGATCATTATTACCAGATTTTTTTTTTTTTTTAGATGGCTGTGAAGCAATTTGATTGTTAATGGTATTGTACATATTTTAGTGTTTTGCATCCAACTGTTAACAAACAAAAATCTTACTTAATTTTCCTGGGGAGGATACTAAGCTTTTTTTTTTTTTTTTTTATTACCTTGAATATAAAAATGAAGACTTACCCTGAAACTGAACTTAGGACATTTTGCACTTGGGAGTTCTGGTAGAGGGTAGCAGTATCATGTGTGAAGGGGTAACAAGTCATAATTGGGGTTCAGAGCTTGTACAATCCTATTTTTGGAGACCGTTAGTGTGTAAAGAAGACAGATATAGTGTGTTAGTGTGTAAAGGAAACATAATGTGTCTTAGGGTGTTGTATGTAAAGAAGATCGATATAGTGTGTTTGTGTGTAAAGGATACAAACATAGTATGTCTTAGGCCCCAGTGTGTTGTTAGTGTGTAAGGAAGATAGATATACAGTACTGTAGTGTAGTGTGTCATATCAACTTTAAACCCCTGACCTTAAGTTCGTTGAAAATTTCTTGTGACTTTGGGAGATATATACAGTACAGCGAACCCTCAAAGATCCAGACCCTGAAGGGGGGGGGGAACCACCTGTCTGAAAAAGCCGATTGTCCACATCTTCCGCCGAATGTACTATATGTATAAAAACGATAATGATATAAAAAATAAATATACAGTACAGTATGTTATGACATATCTGACACACACCGTTTTAGCAGGGACTATTTCGGAAAAGATATTTGTGTACCGGTATACTATTTTCCTCCTGTAGCCATAGTTTTCTTAAAATAATATATACAGTACCAGTAAATATGAGGAATAAATAAAAATTAAACTAATAAATAAGTTACAACAAAAAATACTGTATTGCCAAATCAGTAAATAAAAGCCAATGAAAGTTTAACACACATTTGCATACACTCCCTGCTTCATCATAGCAATGAAGACCAGCTGGGACGCCGATTCCCTAGCAATGCTCTCCACCCCCTACACTATGAGACTCGTCCCCTCCTCCCTCACTGAGCCGACTAACTCGTATGCAAAGAAATTTATATTCCCTTTACGTGTTTGCTCTTGATAATTATTTCCTTTACTTTATTTTTTTTTTTTTACAAAATGTATGTAGGATGGTGTGTGCGTGTAATTGAGTAAAAATAAATTAAGGAAGTTGTGTAGATCTACCCAAAAATACGAGTTGAAAAGCAACCATAATACCTCACAGCTTGGCCCCGTAGCTTGGTGGTTACAGTGATGAGTCTAACCTGGCTGCAATGCCATGACTAATCACTATTAAACACTATTATATCAGTAAACTAATAATAACAGTAAATCCAGTGAAATATGGCAGATAGTGAGGAGAGTTACAACAACAGGTACGCTCTAACTCGTAGTCTATTTTGAAAACAGTGATGGTAACGGCGCTAATCATTATATAAACCATGCATTTACCTACAATGACATAATAAGAGACATTTTATCCTCACTAGAGTGAATGAAATAATCCCACAAACAACAATTGACAACTCTGTTTCCCGCTTCGGGCACCTGTGTCCAGCACGCTGACATCTTGGTTACACGGGCCTAAGATGATCTATGCTCTGTTTTGGGAATGCTTCTGAGACCCCAGAACCTCCAAATTTTTTCCAAATCTTACGAAATCCGGATTTACTGGGTCCAATTTTTTTAGGGTTCACAGTACTTTATCTCCAACCTACATGACTCTTTACATACGCTTAACTTAGGGGTTCAAAAGATATTATGACACTGATTTTTTATACACACACACACCTACCTTTCAAAAACAGTGTCATGCCAACTTTGGAAATCTGATATATGACCCATTATGTACTGTACTGAATTTATTGACCTTGTATTCTGTTCTTATGTGCATTGTGTATGTGTGTGCCTGCATGTTGTAACCTATAGGATTTTTTTTAAGGTATTTTGTATGGCTTCCCACGTCCAATGTGTGCATGTGTGTGAAACTGTTAGATGTATACAGTGAATACAGCTCAAGGCACAAGGATATAGGTTGATGATTTAACGTATCAATAATTGTATGAAAAACTAAAGCTTTCAAAATTCCCTCTGACCTCTTGATTTGTTATAATTGACGTATGAAAGGTAGAATTCTTACAGTAAAGTTGACAAAATTTTAAAGGGTTTTCTGTCCTCTTGTATTTGATAAAATGTTGCAGGTGCTCTTTGTGACAGTAGGTCTATGCTTGTGCTTCAGTTACTTTACCTAACACAGACACCTCCCCTCACATCTATTGTCATGTATTGTTTGTTTATGCATACCATTTGCATGAATAAATGTAACCCATATTCACAAGTGTGTGTGTATCCTTGCAAAGGGAAAATTCACCCCTGGGTGGCCAGATTTTTTTTTATCCAATGCCTTTATTTTTATTTTTCCAAAAAAAATTTAAACAGTTTCTTTTTGCTGTTGCAAACTTGTCCGATTTTGTCCTGAAGTAATGGTTTACGTGTTTCTAAATGAGTTTATTCATAATCGTTGGGATGACCGTTTCTGATGAGAAAGATATTTAGCTAAATTATATAAAGATACATACATTCATCATTTCAAACACAAACACGTAGGAAGTTTATCAGAAGTATTATACATGCATTAATTGTTAAACTGGTAGCAAATTCACACATTAGAAGGATGCATATAATATATAGTACTTATTTTTACCCACAATAAGGCATACTAATACAAATTACGTATCGGTAATAATCATTATGCAAAAACAACATTTTAAAAGATCAGAATCACATTGAAATATTACACGACTGTTAGCAGAGGCGGGAAAAATAAGAATTTGTTCGCAGTCATATTTCCGCCTCACTAACCAAATAAATAAAATTAATTATAGAACAAGGATGGACGTCAGAATACAGAAGACAACAAAACACCAAACACAATTAAAAAACATGTCCAAAGAAGCATATAGTAATAACTGAAAGAAACTAATAACAGACAAAGAAGCAAATTACCACAATCTGAAACAATTCTGGCGAAAAATTAAACAACTAAAGGAAACTTTCAGTAATGAATCAAACTACATTTTAAATAGCAATCAAATCAAATTAATCGAACCGAAAGAACAAAAACCCAAATTCTGGAAATATTGGAGAAATTTTTTTCAAATAAGTCACGAAGAAAACCTGAACTTCAGTATGAACACCGAGCGACAAGTTGTAGTGGATACTCTCTCCTACAACTTCTGATTGATCACTTGCCGTCCAGTGCCGGATTTAGACCTGTGGAGGCCCGTGGGCAGCCTCTTTGTGGAGGCCCCCCTCATTATAACTACCCAAGAGGGTGGGGTGGCGAGTGAAGCGAGCCTAAACATCTGGGAGTTCAGGGGAGCGCTGTAAGCCTCCCGGGAAAATTTTGAAATTTGAACACTTCTTTGGAGAATTTTGAAGCCATATGCAGTTATATTGAGGAAATTAGAACATTGAGAATTTTTTAATTAACTGTATATTTATTGATAGTGTACAAATTCCCATGAATTTTAAAGAATGAAAATAAAAATAATCCAAATGAATAAACAAATAAATAAAATATTGTAGTATGTGGAGGCCCCTGGGCAGCTGCCCACTCCTGAATCCGGTCCTGTTGCCGTCCGCATCAGCCAACCAGCGGCGAGTTCCACAGACCGGGCCTTGCTTTCGGACTGCGTGGTGATTGGCCAGTTACCGCCTTCACCACAGCCAATTAGCAGCGCCGCTTACTCCCGATCTGTCTATCTGATCCGGCAGAATCGTATAATTACCCCCAGCCTCACCGTGAAGGTGAAGTAATTGAACCACCTCCTGCCTCAATATACACATTTCTACATAAAACATTACTAGAGGAATAAAGATGAGAGTGACCAACCAGCTCCACTAAGAACCTGGCAGGCCTCTCCATACAGTGTACCTTTAGACTAACACAACTAACACTTAACTAACACCTCAAAAAAAAAAAAAAAAAAAAAAAAATTGACTACCCTCCCAGTTACACAAGGACCTGGGCGGGCTCACTAACTCCAACAATAACAAATAATAATAATAAGCAGCATTATATAAATAAACCAATATTAATACAAAGGTCTGACGACCCAAGGGAGCAGAACAAAGACAAAACACCAATAAGAAAGATGAAGCGATCTGGTTGAGCCCAGATTCTTTCTACTCCTACTGTATTTCAGTTTCACCACTTTTCCTTCAACTCCTAATAATCTTCTTTCACCTCTTAACTAAAGACTTCGTATCGTATCGAAGGTTATTCTACTCAACGCTCTCAAACAGACAAGACCAACTCTCAACAAGCAAATCACCATACAGCAGCTCCCTAGCACTGCATTGTGTGTAAATGAGGCAGAAAGTCAGATCAGCAACCTGGGACTTTGTCACAATTTTTGTGGTGCCACATGGCAGCAGGGCCTACCATTATTTTTTTTTACTCTTATCCTCTTCACCACTGATTGAGCCGATCGGTCACGTCTTTAATGCAGTATTGTAGTCAAACATTTTTGTATAGTAAAAAGTATTTATTATTGACTTCAGAATATCTCCCAATATCAAGTGCGCATGGCTTCAAAATTGCCTCAAATTGTCCATGATATTGGTCAGATTTAAAAAAATCTTCTGGGGGGACTTACGGCGAACCCCCAACCCCACCAGCTGGACGGGCTCCCTACACTCGCCATGTTCCCCACCCACAACTTCTTGGACCCCCCCTTTGATATTCCTGGATCCGCCCCTGCTCCAGTGCTGGTCAAGTCTGGTCTTAGAGCTCTCACTCGGTGCCGCCACAACACTGGCAGGCTGCTCCATGAGTTCACAACTCTCCGAAAAAGATAACCATTCCATTCGTTTTAGGACCACCTAAGATTTCATAACTGGGATATTATATGTGTATGTATATATATATATATATATATATATATATATATATATATATATATATATATATATATATATATATATATATATATATATATATATATATTTTATTATCATTATTATTATTCTCGGGTTCTTTTGTGGGCTTCTCTTGTGAGTTTAACATGCTTCTTGAGAGCAGCACAAGGCTACACATTGCCTCCTTAGCCTTGAAAGGCTTCTGTTTGCCTCTAGCCACATGGAATTTTTCTTAAAACTTCAGTGATTTATTAATGTAAGAAAAATTGAGTGAAATCAGCTTTCAAGGTTATGTTAAGTTGGGTTGGTAAGGTTTTCACGAATTTACCCAAGAAATTAATGTAATACCCATCGAAATATACAGGAAAAATACATTTTCAACCACAAAGTCTTAAGTGGTCCTAAAACGAATATTGACCCAACCTTTGATTTTCGACAATGCAACATTATCTAAAGATCGGATCGTTATCAATATTAAATGCATTAAATAAAGCTCATAAAAACTATTGAAGTCAATATTGATAGAAGCTTTACGACTCACCTGTGAAGCTTTAGCAAATCGGAGGACAAATATGTTTCTGTTATTTTTAGTGTTGTAGAAGCAATTAATAGCTGCCGATTAATTGTGCCAACTATTTTGTATATCTAGTAGCTGCAGGAGGTGAATGCGTTGACCCATTAAAGTGAACCTTCATCCCACAGAAAAATCCTCCCTTGTTAAACCTCTTAACCGGGAGACCAGTTAAGGATCTTGCATACAAAATTTTTAAATGTAATACGGTAAAAATAAAGGATATAATTGATGAAAACAAAGTTCAGGTAAATTAATAAATCAAAACATAAGATTGAAATAAAAATTAATATTATTGTCATTGTATGTTTTTGTTTTATTATTCGTTACACATGAGGTCCCTGGTGGCAGTAGTTGAGGTGATGGCCGCGGCGTTGGTGTAGCGCCACCTGACATCGATTGTTTACCTCGTCCCGCCGCCTTCCTCTGTTCCCTACCTTTAATTTTATGTAAGTTCTTGAGGTATTTAGATAACTGACCAAGCCATGGGTCTATGTATGGCGGCCCGCAGGTGTTTGTGGTGCCTTGAGGCTGAGGTAATGGTGTGTATAGGGTTGATGGTGGCGGCGTATATAGTGTCATCCAAACCACCAGCACCACACATGATGTTCCTTTAATTACTAGGAGGAATTAAGATTACTGTTTTAATGAATGGCAGGAGTGGAGGGGGGAATTTATGAGCCAACTGTTACCTACCACCGTCAGGAGTTCTTAAAAAACCTCACCAACCTAACCAAAGGAGCCCCCACGGCCCCCCCCCCCACATATTAAACAGGGTTAATATCCGTTTTTATCCCATTAGGGTAGTAGGTTAAGTTACATTAGTTTCCCCCCTCCCCCCCCCATAGGTACAATCCCCATCACTAGTGCGTTTACAGGGACTCGTCAGGTGTGGTAGTCCTGTGTTTATTTACATTCGACAAGAAAACTAGCAATAGAAAACATACTATGGAATGAAAATAAAACAATATTAAAATAAATATCTCGATGTAATGATTTGTGGAATGTATATATGATGAACCTTTGTAAACTCACAAGTGAAGGGGACTGTGCATGTGCAGTTCCTGTATACAGTGCAGTACAGTGAAAAAAGTAAACCAAGGGGCTAAATAAAATAACCAGAATGATGCACAGGTTTTGGCAGGTATTAGGTTCTTTAGGATTTTTTTTAATCATTTGTGAAATCTGTTTAAGTGTTACATAATGCTCCCACAGTGATGTGTATCAGTCCAGCAACTGGTGTTGGTTCACCCCCATCAACACCTGCCAATCAAGTCCCTTACCGTATACAGGTACTGTACGTATAAACTGTACCCTGGATGTAGTGGTTAAGTTAGGTGGTTTTATTTATTATCAGGGTTGTCCAGGTAACATTTATATTTTTAAATACTGTACCAATACTCATTATTATTCTTTTCTATATCTTTGTATTTGTTTTGCAGTCACCATCAACAGACACCATCAAAAATGGATGAGGGTATTCTTTCACTTAGATGGAATAATCATCGCTCAACTTTTTTTCATGCTTTATCTACGCTTCATCGAAAAGTAAGTTTTCTTTAATAAAGTTACTGGTACTACATATTGTGGTTTGTTTCCTAAGTGACAAATATGAATACATAATTCTTCCTTCTGTAAATTTCTTCAGTTTCTTTTTGAAACTTTAAAAATATCCAGATAATTTGTTCAATATACCATTTAATAAGATGAAACATGAAAACGCCTATACCTGGACAACTAAATTTAACGTAGGAGAGAGAAAGATAGAGATATCCTCAGTTCTATTATGGTGTGTAACAGAATGAAAGAATATATAAAGGAGTAAATGTTCCTACCATAGGTGAGAAAAGTAGTACAGCAAGTAACAAGAAGTGAAGGAGTAACACAGAAGTAACAATACTGTAATTTGGATAGTGATAAGGTACCTGAGGTGTTGGGTGGGGTGAGATAATAGGAGAGCCAGGTAGATATGCCGGGGGGTCAGTTGTTGAAGGGGAACACCATAGCAGAACACACCTGATGTTTCACCCTACCAGCTTATTTCACCTGATGATTAATTAATTATCAATGCCTTGGGGGATTGGGTTAGGTTGGTTAATTTTCAGGTGAATCTTTAGGTGATCTCACACACGTACTGTACTGTAATGGCAGTTTAAATGAATGATTGTGAATGAAAGGAAAGTCATGTTTGCTCTTGGGTACATCGGCAGTAAAAAGCCTGCAAGAGTGAAACTGAGTTATTGATCTTATATGGAGTATATCTTGTTGGATACATTTTTAGGGCAGGAGAAGTTCACAGTTTAAAACTATTTGTGTCATTAATTTTGCATGTGTTTATCATTTTAAATTGTATGTATTATTTTTTTAAGTTCTACAGGATTTATTTTTTCTTTTCTACAGGAATTGTATAGTGATGTGACGTTAGCTTGTAATGGCAAATTTTTTCCCGTGCACAAGATGGTGCTTTCAGTTTGTAGTGAATATTTTGAGGACATGTTTAAACAGACAACGTGCAAACACCCTATTATTGTACTTAAAGACATTCTGCATGATGATCTTGAGGCTCTCCTCAACTACATGTATGCGGGAGAAGCAAACGTTGCACAAAGTGACTTAGCGAGATTAATAAAGGCTGCTGAGTGCTTAAGAATTAAGGGTTTGGCTGTGCCTGATGAAGCTCCCCAGTTAAGTGATACTAAGAGACCTCACACAGACAGTCATAGAGATGAAACTCATCATCCAAAGCGAAGAAAACACGAAGATCGATCGTTATCTCCATCAAAATCCAACCAGAGTCACGTGAGAGAAAGACGGAACTCGGAGGATGTTGAGTCGTGCAAAGACACTAACGATACAGACTCGGTTAGTGAACAACAAATGTGTCATTCTGGGAGGAGTGGCCAGAATGCAGGCATTCACCATCACCCTCCCTCAAGCCCAAATTCAAACATAGAGATAGACCTTGGAAGATCCAACAGAGAAGACAACAGTAGCACTCAAGATCTTGCAGAGGTGAGGAATTTTTATCATTTATCCTTAGATGCACAATTTATATAGTGTGTATAGCTAGAGAAGGTGTTTTTTACTGATATTATTATCACAAATAGTATATGACAGTTAACCATTCACCATCTACTACACCCGCTACATACAGTATATGACCATTCACCATCTACTGCACCCACTATCCAATGTCTGTTTCATTGTTTTGTAACCAGATATACATGCAGTCCTTCATCAGTTTGTTCTTACCAGCCTTTAACCTTATTGCAATAATTTTACAAGTTATTACATCCATTGGACAAAACTGAAGGGTATTACTCTGTACAGTATGTCATAAGATATCACTCCATATATCTGTACTGTGTTGTCAATACTGTACTGCTTATTACAGAGAAACTAAATACAATATTTTAATTAAACTTGTCATATGTTTAAAGGGTGATAAGATAATTCGGTACATTAACTAATTTTTTATATTGCGTGAAATATGAGTGATTGGCAGCAATTTTGCATTTTGTTTTAACCATTGGAAGTATATTAATAAAACTTGGTAAATTTTTGAGGGTAGTAAATTTTATTGCATGTTAGCTGGTTCTTGGATAAAATAATAAAGTGACTGATTAGGAGATACATCAAGGGTCATGTGACTACTGTTAGGCTGTTGACTTTATTCACCTGTCTTGAGTGTCGCTTCTATTGATACATAATGTACAATATGATGTCACCTTAATACAGTACTGATATCTAGTAGTTAAATGATCAGCTTCAGTGAAATTTTGCTCACTCATCAATTTAAAATTCAGAAGATAATGTTTGTACAGCAGTAACTCACACAAGGTCAGGATCACAGCTGGTAAATATTGTAGCTAAGTAATCTTTCTTTTGAGTGCAATTTGCTGCTGACACACTTATGAATCCTTGTCATGTCAAAGGGAAGTGAATTAAATTACAAATGACAGCAATTAAAGGTGATTGTAAAATAGACATGATATTATTTTTGTGGTCATTTAAACAAAGTTCTGGGCTTGGATTTATTTGCTACAGTGAATTAAACTGGTGTACTGTACTGTATATGCAAATTTAGGATGTGGAGAGTATTTCAACTTGTTTCATCCTCTCTTGTTTTCTTCTCCATTTGTTTTGCACCACACTCCAATAATATTCCTCCCTTTCCTAGAGGCTTTTGTTTCCCATTATCCTCCCCTCACAAAATTGGGAGAGGTATAAAGAGTGAATGATCATACTAGCTCATGGAAGCACAGGAGAAGTAAAGTGATATATTTTTTATACTTATTTTTATGCCCCTGCAACAAAGGCAGGGAAGTATGTAGAGTTGCACCTGGCTGTCACAGTGTTTGCCATCTTTCCAAATTTTTTAGCTGGAGATCACAAAAGATATCCATCAGTAAGCAGGGAAAGCTTCTATTGTAGACTTCTGAACGAACCCCCTGGATTTCCATATAAAGTTATCAACATGTTTGACCTTTTTGCTTAATCACACATTTTGGTCTTCAAACTTCTTGCATCTGGTACTGTACTGCTACACCCTTCATGATGTGCCAGGTTTCTCTACTTGAACATTTGTCTTTCAGGTCTTGTTAAACAGGATTAATTTTTATAACTCTTATCGTGTGCTGAGCATTTCCTTTTCCCATACAGTACTGTAGTCTCCAGTCCTTATAACCTTGCTAAATCTAACCTCCTTTAGCCTGGTCCCAGTGGGCCTGAAGTGTATTGGTTATATTTAATTGTTAAATCTTTACCTTTAAGATATATATATAGTTAGTGTTTCTAGTGTACCTTCAGGAGCAGAATACACTGCATATATTGTTATGTTTCAGCAGCTGAGGGTTATCTGAGCAATGCATTTGGGCCTGAGTTTGTGGTGATAGATGATGGCAATGGTTTCTGTTGTTGATTTTTCTTGATTTCATGGTAGGATTTTGGTGATGATAAGAGAGAGTGAGTAAGGGAAACATAATGTAACTGGTTTTCATTTGGCCAGGTGGTGTTGGAAGAAAAACCAATGATAAAAGAAGAAGTACCTGAACCAAAACACGAACACGAGGACGACATAACTCATCTCACAGACTCTGAAGCGAGTATTAACTACGACCCTCTTAACTCTGTGGACGAGAGAGGAGGTAGTGGGGGAACGAGCATGTACAACCCGCAGATGATGTCGACCCATCCACAAAATGTTTTACAAGACCTAATGGTGCAAGGTGTACCTGGAACTTCTGCAATGGCGGGAGTAAGTATTGTTACAAACCTCTGTTCAAACTACTGCTAGCCAATGAACTAAATGTAAATCAAACTCTCCACTGGTAAATCTGTTGTGCTTTTCATACTGGCATAGGAACCTGGAATTTTTGGGGGGTTTTAAAGTACGGTGCCAAGTACTGGCTAATTTTAGTGATTATGAGTTTGACCCAGCCTTATGTTTCTTCAGAAGGTAATAGAAGGTAATGGCAGTTTATAAGATCAGATTTTAATGGGTAATTGCACTAAGATTAGATTTGTAGGAGTTTTATAACCAAGGCATCAGAAATTTTATGGTGAATCTAAATGACTGTGATAACTTTAAAGCAACCATTCTGGGCTATAGTAACTTAACAGTAGACATGCTTAGAATTTCACAAATGTTGTACCGTATACTTTATCAATTATGGCATCTCAAAATTTTTTTCATCATAACTCCTTGTCTCTCATTGCTAAATAAAATCATCTGGAGTTAGCCAAATAAAAATAAATGGCATCCCTCATAGTGAAGGCATTAAACACACATACTGTAGTACTGTGCTGTGCTTCTTGGGTATTTTAAGCAGTCTTTATGGTTTCATTATTATTTGTCTTAATTTTATTCCATGAAGATTAGCTGCCATGTTTCTTTGATATAACTCAAGGCATATATACTGTACTGTATCTTGGCTATCATGAACTACTACTCTGGTGGTCATATTTTGGTAAGATCATTTATTCTACCAAAATGACAATTTGTATTAACATTCTTGCTGGTCAGTGGTGCAGGTTGGGTTGCAATAGCCTGACAGTTTTCAGGATTATCTACATGTTGACCCATTCTTACCCAATATAACATCTGCAGGCAGCTCCCAAATAATGACTCTGTTATAGGAAAAAACATTATACAGCGAGCCTCCCAATTAATGACATGTTCAACCACAGACCCATTTCTGCCCATACTGTATTTCCTGACATCAAACATGTACAGTGAGAGAAGGAAGTATATATCTTCCCAGCTTTGGCTGAAGTACAGTACTATACAATGGAACCTGATTACCCAACACAGTGAATGGTGTCACTGATGGCCTCTTTCCAAGGTTCCACAGACCTGCCAACTGTTTATGAGCTCCATACATACGTGTGTCAAATGGCTCAACCATTCTGCGATATATTTGTCAAAACCCCAAGAAGGTACTTCATTTTCTCACTATAATATTGTGATCATGAAGCTGAAAAAGAGTTGTGTCAACTCATATATACAAATTACTTGTTTTTATATTGCTCTAAACAAAATAATCAAATAATCATACTGAGTACAGTATTGTAATTTCAATAAAGATGAAAACACACTTCAGACTGAAAGTAAAGATGCCCTTATATAGGTGACATTGCATACTTACGTAGCAAGAGTTGCTTGTTTATGTATGTAATCATTTCCTTAGAAATTATCTCAACTTGTGTATAATGAGTACAAAAATGAGTTCCTAGTGCTTCACCAAGCAGACCTTTAATCAAGAAATAGTGAAGGAGAGCCATTTTAGAGGTGAAGTTAGACATTATTAAACACTGTGAGTGGTTAAGGAACATCAAGAGTATGTCATTTGAGCTTCTCAATAAATAATTCATTACCACTATATGTTTGTCTGTAATCTGTCAAAATTATTGTATGTCTGAGTAATTAGATTGTCTCGTAATTAAAAAGCTATGTTGTTAACTTATTCTTGGCAGGATGCACTGGCTGGCTGGGACCCTATGGCGGGGTTTCCCCTAGAAGGTGTGATTTCTGAAGATTCTAGATCTTCTCAGGCAATGGTGAGTGTACACTTCAAGTTTTAATTTGAGGAATCAGGAAAAGTGAACTTCAGTGTCCCCAGATACATTTAAGCTGTGCTGTGATCACATAACGTTGTGGGGGCTGGGATGGCTTCACTCCTATGTTTTATATTATTGAGGGGAGTAAGTTGCTATTTGCATGATGACTGGCTATACTTTGTATCACTGAATTGGGGCAATGTAATTGGTTCCCACAACTTCATTTTCTTTAGTACAGTATTTTAAGAATGGTCAGCTTTGTTTTAAACAAAAATTCTGGTTGTGAAGCCTCACATAGTCACACTTATCCTGGATTCTCAGAGATTTTTTTCAGCTTATTTTATGTCTTAAATTGACGTCAATAGTATCCAAGCTGGTGTCAGTCACTCATGGAAGTTTTACAGCTACAGTAGACTTGGGTTTTCTTTACTATTAATGTTTCTCCTATTTGAGCACATGTCTGCTGCAGCTCCACTTATGGTCAGTCTCACACTCACTCACTTCTACAAAAGTTGTAATATCAGGACTGGAAGTTCATGAAAATGGTACAATAGATAGAAAAAAAGAGGGAAATACTGCAGTGACGGAAGAGGGCGATTTTTTTAAGGTACAGCACAGTCAACAGCCAATTAAAGGGCACCCTTTAGTGAAATTTGAACCCTGTAATTTTCTCATACATCTATTGTTTATTTTCACCTTGATTTTCCTTTGTGTCTTCATGCGTCTCCTTGTGTGTTTCTTGTTATTTGTAGATGATGAAGTAACTTGCATTGTTTACCCTTGCGACCATAGCATACTGCATGGAAATGGATGCTTGACATAATGGGCTAGCAGTCCATGAACCCTCTTTTTGAATCTCCATTGAGGAGACAATGTGTTTTTGATATTCAACATCTTGTTATATAAACCTAACTGGTCCCACATGGATGGAGATGCAGTCCTCTTACCATATATCAGCCTCTGTGTGATATGTGACATGTGGTCTAGGTGGCTGATGTTGAGATATATATCTCATAAGTGTCCAGTGTTGGGTGAAACATTTTGGTATTGAGCCTTCACTTATGTGATAGTCAAAGCAGCATGTTTAATTTTATGGTAGAAATTTGGAGTTTTGATAATTGTATTAAGGAGGTGTGGAGATGGTTGGTTGTTAACAGCTTGAGTGCCTATGTAACATTGTGTGTGTGCATTCAGTGACTGTACCTCTACTGTATATAGAATTTACCTTTTATCTAGTTTTAAAGAGAAAATTTACAAACCCTGGTAAGGTAAAACTGCTGTAGCTATGTGGTGTAAAGGTGGTAACCCTTTGTTGTTTTATTTATGTATTGACTTGGAACAATACGACTTTCCATGGAGAGAAAAAAGTTTGTATTAGTGTTTTTGTCATTTTGTTTGTGTGTGAAACTTATTTGCCTTGTTGAATAAAGGCTATAAGTGTTTTTTGCATGTAACTGTAAATAGTAAAATTCTGAGATTCATCACTGTGTTGTATTCCATTTAGATTATTGGATATAATTATTATTGTTCGAGGTGGATTTGCTACGGGTAGGTGATGTTGAGTTGTGTGAAACAACTAAAATTTTAAAAAGTGGGAGTATTAGAGCTACAGTACCTGCAAATTTAAGAACATGAATTTGTATTTTGCAAATTATCGCAACTCCAATGTATTACTATGAGGAAATTCCAGAAAAAGTGTTTTTTCTTTTGTGACAACCATAACCCATAAAATGGGGTACCTGGAGATGTCACTTACCATGTGTTAAAACAAGTGTTAACACTGTGAATTGCAGAGCACAGCACTAGTTGTCATTCTCAAATTGTGTGGGTTGGAAAGGGTGCCACATATTCATCCACAATCAACAACACCAATTGTATTAAATACTGTACATTTGTGTATAGTACAGTACTATACAATACAGTATTGTGAATCTGTTGGAATTATGATAAATACCCTTTTAGTACATTATTCAGGTATTGGTGTTTTTGTGTTTTATATTTGATGATGATTATCTTTGTCTATCATATGATAGCGAAATTGTAATTAAACTTACTCATGTTGGGGATTAAGAATTGTGGAATTAACATTCAGAAAGGTTATGAAATGAGCAGAAGTAGCTGCTTTCTTTTGAATCTCTCTTTCAGTTTGGAATATGATGAATTATTAGATATTTCAAAACTAATTTTCAGAACTACTGGATTGTTCTGAATTATGAGAAATTCCAAATTTGGGAATTCTAGATTGTAGAGGAATTACTCTACTTCGAAGTGTCTCACCAACATAGAGTTTGTCGAGCTTCCAACTGTGAGTTTGATCAGTCTTGCACACCAAAGTGAAATATTGTTATGGAGAGAAGACATTCTTTCTAACCTCCTGGGATTGTGGCTTGTGTATCTTTCTTCCTTTTATGAAATGGGGACAAAATCTAAGACCCAAAATACTGTACATCATTTAATATTAGAACATTGTATTAAGTGCACAGAAGGGTAAAGCTCCTTGCTGATTGATTCCTTAAACTAGACAGGTGATGGTGAGAAGAATGAACCTTTAGGTGAAGTGATTAGCCTCCTTAATTTGCTTGGAGGAAAAATAGTCCTCTGATTTCTCCTATGGCTTTTGTGAAACTTGGAGAGAGAATTTTTCCTGTGGGTGAGTGGCAGGTGCATATATCTCAATCTCCTGAGTTCTCCACCTTGATGGTTGTCATATTTTCTGGTTTCAGCTTGGAATCTGTTGTCAGCATTTGTTGTTCTGCAGAATTTTGGGGTTTAGCTTTAAGGTGTATCTTTATTACTAATTGTAATGTGACTAAAGTACTGTATGTTTTAAAGAGATGGATTGCCTTAGCGAGTCCACCTCTTGAAGCATTTACAAGAGTATATTTGGATTATTCAAGTAAAGTCTGTTTTGGCATCATCAATGCTGAATTTCTCTATTTGGAATATCAGAATTTCAGTGCAACTACTTTAGTGTCTTCCTAGTGTATACAGTACAGGACAGACCCTTAGAGAAGCCTAATGCACTTTATATTCCCTCAGCGGCATTAATGGATCAGTCCTGATCCTTGTTTATTAAGTGTTTTTGTATTGTGGAGGTCATTTGGTACTTTGAACTGGTTTTCATGTTGTTGAACTCTGTAGAGTCATTATTGTAGGAGGTAAGAGGTTACCCCCGAAAGAAACATTCCTCTAGCAGAAGTGTTTCTACTGGATGTTTATATCTTTTGGTCTCCCCTTTTCTTGAGTCATCCTCATGCTCAGTTTAAAGCTTTTATTAGAAACTCGGTCTTAGCTTCATCCCCGGGGTATTATTTTCCAGGCTTAGAAACTGCAGGATGAATCTCTTCATGCTCTTGGCCTGGTAAAAGCACTTCATTTTGTCATATTGTTGACTTGTTGACATTACATGAATTATTTGATCAGTGTCTTTAATAAACAGATTTCAGAATCAATTCTTCATATCAAAGCATTGTGTCACACAAGTGTGCATTGTAGAAGTTGGCCTGTTGACCATACTCATCCTAATTTTGACACTTGGCATTAGTTGCAATTGATAGGAGGTAATTGGTTGCTGGTTGGTAAGTGGGTCACAACATCTTATTGTTTTTAGTGTAATGTATTAAACACTAAAAGAAAAATGGCCTTGAATGTACCATAATGATATGTTGCAGCACATTTAAATAATGTATAATACTGTATATAATTTTGGGCAAGGAAATTTTCCATGCTTCTATCTTCATTTTGCTGCTTCATGCTTTTAGCACTTTGAGAATCACCTTCAAGGTTTCACATGTCTTCTGGTTGTGTATCGGAGACAAGTGGGGAATTTCTGCTGTATCTTTTATGTATGTTTCTGCACTTGTGTGTTGGGGTGTTGGTATGGTAAGTGAAGCAGCTGGCATACCCTCTTACCTGAATTAAAAATGAAGGGAGTTGGTGTTGCTCAGCAAGTATGTACCGTACAGTATGAGGGAAAAGTAAAAGGGAACGAGTAAAGTACAGAGACAAGGTGAAGGGAGCTTTTAAAGTGAGAAATAACAGTATTTGAAGGATATTATAAAGATGCAGAATGTGAGATTGACCATTAAGTGGAACTGGGTTGAAAATGTTTTATAAACAGAATCATTGCTCAGAAAAACAAAAGTACTGTCCCATTATGTATCTTATACACATGCAATATCTTTACTATGCTGTGAAAAATCAAGGAAAGCGGATTAAACATAAATTAATATTCTGGCAAGTTTACTGACAGTTATTGTGGGTGGTGTAGTTCTTGGTTGTGTCTACCTGTGTTATGCACGTATTTCTCATCATGCATGAACATCCAAACGGGGATAGTGTCATGTGCCACACAAGTCTCTTCAGAAAGACTTTAGAGATCTGGCTGGTAATGAAATCATAATTAGACCTTCAAGATTTATGACCACAGGCAGTTTTAAATGACAAGACATCTGCCATCTCTGTCATATTGTACTTGGTGTTGGTTCCCATTCTCTCTACCTAGAGTAGATTATTTTCCTCTTAAAGGATTTAATGTAAGTGTTATGTATGAAACACAGTATGATGTAAATTAAAAAGTTATGTCTTTAACCTTTAAATGACGGCCATCATCGGTGGAAGTTAGGTGTAAGGACGGTGGCCATCAGCAGTGGATGTTTCATGTTCTATGCATTCCATTTTTGTGCTTGTGGGGAAGGAGTAGGGAGTCCTTAGCTGCTGCTTAAGAGTTAAGTGGGGTGAAAATTAACCTTGGCGGTGAAGCCTGTGGAAAAAGGATTGTGTGTTAGATAAAGTCTTAGTGGCCATCACTAAGATATGTTAGTTTAGCAAGATGATAGTACAGGTATCCCTTGTGATATGAACATTCTAGTTACGAAAATTCACTGCTTTTTTGAGATACAAAAGCTGCCTCCCGAAAGTTGGGAATGCTGTACAGATGCCGCAGCTACTTCACTCCTGAGCAGTTGCTCCAAGTATATAAGGGATTCATTCGTCCTAAC